CAAAAGTAAGCACATTGGATTATATCTCCTTCAGCCAGATTTTAAATTAAAGATCGGTATTGGTCGAAACGATTAAAAATTCTGGTCGCGTTTGTATAATTTTCATTGTGAATTAAAGTTTATTGGAGAGCCAACCAATGCACAAAATAATTGTAATTACACATGAACTAAATTCCAGGAAACAGGTCCGATTCTATTAATTCGTATATTTGCGCAAAAAACGTGGCGCTATATATGAATTTGTATAGACATGGAACTACAGAGTTAGCAAACCATATGCTGTTAAAATATATACAGCGAAACTTCTTTATACCGGTCAGCCTCGTCCACAGGGATTTTTGATCGGTATAAGATAAAGATATAAAACGCAAGTAATATAAGAGTACACATAAGGATAATCCATTATGTAATAACAGGTCTAACTGTCACAAAGCGTCTAAAACTTCTTGCCCAAGATTGTCCATTCTGCTTAAATTAATATTACGTCGTAAGTGTTGTAAGTTAACCACGTTTTCTGGTGCAATAAATAAATTATCTGGCCGCTGTTCAATCATTGTTTAAAAGCAGTCAATGTCGCCTCAAACAAAACCTTTTTTTGAGTTCGACTAACCTCATTGTCATTATTGCAATTATTTACCTCTTCCTCATTACTCTCGGATAGGACTATTTTAATAACGTTGCCGTCATTTTATTTTCTTTAATAGAAAACCGCCTATCCTTTTCACGAAGTGCAATTCGATTGACTTTAATTGATAATTTTCGTTTTCTATAATGAACAAAACTCTGAATGTTTGTTTATTTGTTTATTTATTGAATGAAACCCGTTTTTTACGTGAGCATGGTAGATACAGGAAAGTAAAAGTAGAAGGTTATTTATTGTGTTACGACTGGTATAAAAAAGGGAAAATTATATATTTTTTTTATAATAGTATGACTAATTTCGTCCAACAAAATTTCGACCAGAGCCGTTATAGACAATTTAATTAATGATGACCGGTATATTAATATAAAAAAAATTTTATACGTAAAAATTTGTTCTCGAAAATGTGGGGCGTTATAGAAAAAAAACCGGATGACCGGGCGCTATAAAAAGGTTTCACTGTATCCCACAGAGAATCTCCGAAGATGTATTACGAACAAATATTCGATCAACTTTCTTAGACAGAAATGTAAGCAGACCTATATAAACAAGCATATACTGTTCTAATACAACAGTAATGTTAATATCAGCTTTGTTTTATTCGGATTTGGAGCGTCTCGATGGTATGCAATTTTTTCAAATAAGACTGAAAACACAAATTTTATTGTGATTTCAAAGCATTTTTTGATTGGGTACATGACATAGGATTTTGCAAAATGTATCATATTAAATATGCAGATATAAGCTTGGAGACGAGCTTGTTCCTGTTCCATCGGTTCTCCACTCCTGCAGTCTGTATTTATGAACAAATTAACTTTGTTGAAAATTTTACAGAGCCATCAATATCCTGATTTCCGGGGGTTGTCAAATGAGGATAATTATGCTGCTCAACTTCACAAAAATTGCAAGTACTTCCTGCTTTACGAATAACGTACCAACAATACTACTACCACAACGGAACAATTTTAGCAATGTCAGCATTAAGTTTTTTTTTTTAATTCGGTTAATAAAGTTCTAATGCGTATAGGCGTCATTATAACTGTATTAGAATTTTTTTAGCAGAAAATCTCTTGCGTCGCATAGTTTTTACGTTATATAAACAGTTACATACGAATAAAAACATTTACTTATTTCGGGGGTAGTTATTTTTGGCGCCGAAACTGCTGTAAACAGAGTTATTAAGATTCAACACGTCATATCTTGGCGCAGGGTATAACGTAAAAACGGTATAAAAAGTTAACTGCATTTACTCTTATTATATTTATTTTTAATACCGTAATTTCTAGAATGCTTACATTATACTTAATAACAAATGTACTTTCTCACAAAAGTTTAAAAAACGTAGTTAAAGTCACCATCCACGACGCGAAATCAGTAGTCTACCGCGTCATTATGACTTACCCACTTTCTCGATTTAAAACATGAATATTTACTAGAAATATTAGCACCGAAAACGATAATAAACAAATTTTCTATGCATATGTCTGTAAATCTGTTATTTGTTTATAATAATAATAGGACGCAATCAGCAATAAAATACAGGCACCGATCTTAATATGAACATCACTGCAAACTGGGACTCTCTTCACTTGACAGGCTAGATTTTTGTCTACAACTTGCACAAGCTAGACACCGTCGACAACTTGCACCAGCTAGACACTTCTACAACTTAGTCCTGAGGCAATAGTTACTCTTGTACTGTACTTCTCTATGTTATATGAGGTAAAATTCAAAAGTATCGTGCTCTTAACATAACTCAATGTCGCTAATCAATTCCATAATATTTTTTTATATTTTAGTAAGCAGACCTGTATCTATGTATTCTCTGTATGTGTGATTATACTTGGTAATAATAAAGACGCATGGTATTAATTAGCGTCGTCATGTCAATGATCAAAGTAATTGTTCAGAATATACAAATGCCTTTTGATGGTGCAGAAGAGCAATTACAAAAAAAATCACAAAGTTTTGTTTGAAAGTGTCAAGATAAATTTTATGAGGTGAAGCATTTGGCGTTGGGAATGCGAATTTTGTAGGTAGGATACCTTGGCGCCACTGTACATAGTAAATCAAGAAAGGCTGGCACGCGGATCCTAGGCCACTTAATGTGAGTCTCGGCATTATGTTATTACTATGCTCTTCGAATAATGTTCCTATCTGTAAAAAACTTATCGCACTCCCATAGACTATGTAAAAGACTAAATGGGGTTCACAATTATCGTAATTATAATAAAAGAACAGTATCCGCTGACACTACAAATTCACTTCATTTCGTAATCAATGTCGACTACAGAACATCTCGGCATAATCTTAGAAAAATAAAGCAACCGTTTTTCAAAGTTCTTTATTGTAAAAAAATTTTTTGAATGAAGGCACGTCAATGCATTTTGCGAACAACAATGACGTGTCTAAGTGTGACTATTACTATAGGGTTTACGAAGATTCAGATTATAGGGATTATAAAGCGGTTACTTAATAAAAATGTTTCGTTATTTTGTATAAAATGCTTTTGGTTAGCAAGGATTGTGATACGCAGATAGGGACTATCCCTCAGTCTGTAGGCCAAATTTTGACGGATTTGCCCTTTAATTTTGTTGTGCATTTTTACGAATATTGTTATTATGCTTTCTGCACTTTGACCATTAATAAATATTATTTACCTTGTTCTAAACTTTCAAACAAGCTACATATATTAGCAAAACGTAGCACATACGAAGAATAACACATCTTTAAAAATTGTTTTTGTAAAAAAGTTTATGTAAAGTTTTTAGTTTTTTATAAAATTTACTTTATTGAGACTATGGCAGACCTTCCCTATTACTAGACAATATTTTTGTTTCACTTTATTCCAAATCCTTTGAGCTAAAAATCTCAACAAACCGAATAGTTGTTGACGAGTAATGAATTTTTAAAGATAACTACTCCGACCCCTCGAGTTTGTGATATTTATGGATGTAATTTACTTGCCTCGCATATTTCCATTTTTTCTCCAGTGTTTTGCTTTTTTCAGAGTCTTTATTCTCCTGTTCTTTCTCCTGATTATATTCATCGCTGATTTGGATCTCCTCAACATGATCCACAAGCTCACCTATCTCTTAGTCTACTATGATTGTTTTATGGAAATTACGCCCAAAAGTACCAAGTATTGCGAACCAAAAATGGCTTCTGGGCTAGTGTCTGGGACATTTTCATACAGAAAATTTATTAATATCACTATTGACACGAAGTGTAGTATTTTGTGACTTCTATTCGCGACGAACGATAGTCAGGGTTAATGATCGGCAAACGATCTGCAGACTGAATGAGCGACCAGTGTAACCAAGTATCACGTGAGTCTGTATAATGCTAGCCACGGGATATGAGGTTTCCAACAAATTATATATGTTGGGGTATATATTCAGTAATAAAGGAGATATAAAGCGATTTTGTCAGTGAATCAAAATTCCGTTCAAATTTGAACGGAAAATAACGACAGGCGTTGGCTGTATCGGTAGAACATATGTGCTATTTGTGTGGTCGTATTGATTTTAATAATAATAATTATTATTATTATTTAATTACTAAGACGAATGTTGCCATATTATGTCGCGTTATGTGGGAAATTGAATAATCGAATTCACGACATGCTTGTAGACCTAATGATGCGTAATTACAGCTATAACATTGCGATCACTCAAACTATGACAAATTGAACTAGTATGAAGTGTGTCGCTACTTAAATTTAATTTGTGACTTGTGTTTTATTTAAAACGTGTCAATTTGTGGCGTTAGTAATGACCTTAATTCTCTGGAGTACTATTTCGTCTATTTCGTTTGGTCTGCATTGCATGCTCTCTGAGGTAAATCGATATTTTTGAGCGGAAGCTTCAATTAATACTGCTTGTTCATAAGTTTATTAAATTCCTTCTTAATGCTGATTATTGTAACCAATAAAATCAAACTTCCCTATGCTATAAATAGCAAACTATCTATAAGTTGTGTTCTTCCACAGACAAACGCGTAACACGTCGCTGCCTCATTCTTCTTTCTTTGTTATCTTGTAATTATCTTATAACTATCTTATCATCACCATCATCTTATCATTATCATAAATCAATATTATCATCTATTTTTTTTTAAAGTGTCATAGATAGTTTGTTTGATCAGAACTGACTCTATATCTGTAAATTCCGAGTAAGGCCACATAACACCATTCCAATGTCCTGAGGGAATGAAAAGTTCGAGATACAGGATATCCCGTCAACATGGTCTTCAATTGGTTATTCATGTCGGCAAGAACGTGCATGCGGCACGCCCATACACGTCATCGTTATATACGTGTTGTAACACGTCCCATATTCCACTTCGTCTATTCCCACGCTTATCCTCTTGTCATCCATCTATTGCTTCGAGTATCGGATGCATACCTTTCTCCGCTTAAATATGGCCGAAATTGTCTTGCGACAATACTGCGTACTTGACGATTGTTATGTACACCAAAATCTTCTGCATCGTCACTGACCGGAGTGGACAACGAGCGTTGCTCGCTTTCATAGCTAATATCGTCATCCGAAGAATTGGAAGAGGTATCATCGTCTGCATCATCCGATTCCAAATCATCAGAATGTATGTCATCGTGACTACGGAAAGAAATTTCAGAGTCGTCGTCGTCGTCATCGTCGTCGTCGTCATCTTCAACAGTCTCACGCGCATGGTTGCGTGATCTCGACGATGATCCCAGCGATCCGCGAGTAGTTGCTGCTAGTATCGGAGATCTTAAACGATATTGTGTGCCTTGAGAAAGAGGTAGATGAGTGCAAGGTGCGTCTGAAGTATCATCTGAAATAATAGAATAATTCCTTGATCGAAGTGGGTAACGAGCAGATTTACGTCCATGCTCTTCAGTTTCCTCCTCTTCGTCTTCATCTGACACTGTCAACGAAGACGGGTGGTATCCATCAGACGATTCGCTCCCACGAGGGGTATTCTCGTTATCTTGACGCCTGGACGAATTCCTTGACGTTGCTAAAGGCAAACGACGATGTCTGTTTGAGCTTTGCGGGGATGTATATATAGGCTCTATCTGTGTCTCCTGATTCCACATTGTCCGAAATTGCTGCTGTATGAAACTATGCGGACCGGACGATCGATCCGTCGAATCTGTATCATATGGATCCGATTCCCGGGATGATGAGACACCCGGGATGCTGTCGTTCTCCGAATAGGAGTCGATGTCCCGTCCACCGCTGAAGGAATTTCTTTCATAGAAGTATAAGAGATGTCCGTCGCTATCATCGTCGTCATCATCGAATTCATCACTGTCAAGGCCTAGGTCATGGTCGCTTTCATCTAATCGGTATGGGCGCTCACGGTAGTCAACCCCACAGTGTACACATACATCACCGATTACTGGAGAACGTTGAGATCGCGGATGGTATAGGATAATTTAAAACTCGTTAGTATTATCAAATTTATGCTAAGAGACTAAGGTGCTTGAAATAACTATGATTAAAACGAAAAACTTGAAAAGGGTGACTAGGAAACAATAGGAATAAAATGCACGTTCAAAAATGGACGTAAGGTATCTAAATTCCGATAACGGTCAACAATAAATTACACTATCAAATTGCCCTCCCAATCTTAAACATTCCCGTCACCCTAATCCAGTCACAGAGAAACTTGCCTTCCCAAGCGCACCTTGAACATCGTCTACGAATTTAAGTCAGAGACAGTCAGTTAATTGTGAATGATTATTGTGAGATGTCAACATAAAACAGCCTCTGATAATTGACTAATAGAAGAGTGAATAATCTTTGATACAACTCATTAGCCTCATCCGTTATTAATAATTTACATCTATGAAATGACGTCTTTTACTCAAAACGATCTCTTCATATGCTTAATACTTTCATTCATATTTCTATGCTATCATAGCGAAAGTGGAAAGTGAAGTCCCCAATACCATACGAACCTTACTCCATCAGCATCGTCCACAATAATTGCTGTTGAGTGAGTTCCAAACACCTCACGCCAGGGATCACTCTGTTCTTTCAGAGAAGCCTCTTTGTCACGTAGACGAGCCTTAGCCGATTCGCGTTCATCAGGAGCCAATTGCTCAACGTAAGTTTCTACTTGTTCTTTTACGACGAAAGAAAGTGTAGGGCGTTGAGATATTTTCTTCCTGCAGGTTGGACATTCACGTCGGATTTTTAGCTAAGTTCCAAAAGGATCCAAAAGTTGTGTAAATACGACAAAAGGAAAAGAAGATTAATGAGACAAAACGCCCAAGAGTTATTGTCAATAACATACCCAATCGTGTAAACAGTCGTAACAGAATGTATGCCCACAAGATATTGTGCACGGATTACTCATATACTCAACACAAATTACACACGTCAAACCTGTAATAAGGTCAAGTAAAAAATTTACAGTTGGTCAACACACTCTTCTTTCAATCTAAAATGCTCCCATCAACCAACTCGTACCGGGTTTAGACTTCTTGCTTTGAGCGTGTAAGCTTTCGATCACTTGATCTTTGAACGATACTTCTGCTTGTAATCTTTTAATCTCATTTTTCAATTCCAATATTTCCTCCAGCGCAGCCCGCAACTCTATCTTCTCGCTTCGATCTTGTGTTGCTTCTCTTTCGCGATCTCTACCTCGGATTTTCGCATCTTTACCTTTCTCTTTGACTCTTTCTTTGTCTCTATCCTTATCTTTGCCTTTCTCTTTACCTTTACCTTTTTCTTTTTTATCGTTTTCATTTTCATTCTCTTTCACTTTCTCTCTCTCTTTCCCTACTCCATTCTCTTTATACAATTCCTTATCAAGATCTTTTGTATTCTCCCCATCCTTCTCATTTTCCCCACATTCTTTATTTTCCACTCGTTCTTCATTTTCTTTATTCTCTTTCTCATTTCCACAAGATCCACTGACAGTGTCATTCATGCTGTTTCTATACTTTCGATAAACTTCTGAGTCGTCGTTGTTGTCGTCAAATGTTTCTGAATGATCTGTACACACAGGATCACTTACGAATGAGGCATGCACTGGTGTACCTCGTGTGGCGTGTCCTCGAAAACGTTTGTGAAGAGGCCGAGAAGAAGAGCTAATGTTACTGGCAATTGGGCGCGTACAAGTAGAAGTGCTAGAAGAGGCGTGTGAGTCCGTTATGGATAGGCGGCGTTTTGGTTTTCTCTTCATGATTGTGAAATTGATAAGATTGGTGTTGGGGCGCAGAACAAGGGACGTGGTATTTTGTATCAAAATGTAAAGTTATTATAACAGGAGAAGAGAATTTGTTAATTGAAAACTTATATGCAGAGAAGGGTGGAAACGTTGGAATAATTTGCAAGTATCTTAAGAAAAACTTACTTTGTTAATTGGGAGACCGGAATTGGCAAAGTTCGTTGGGGAGAGATGGGTTGAATAGGGTTTTGATCAGGTGATTTGGACATTGTTTTTATTGTGATACAATGCAAGTTGGGCTACTATTACATAAGAATGTTAAATATCTTTTTTGCTTTAACTTTTAATGACTGCTCATCTTGTATTGTGGTAAGTTTCCTTCGCAAACGTTAGTATAATAAACCTGATCAGAATGTGACTTTGTTTTTGTTTTCGTGGAATTATCAACTGTTCCTAAGATGATGATGATCAGGATCTAATATTATTAAATTTACCGGAAATATGCATTTAACAGCTCCATTTTCATATATAGGTAAGGACTAATTCCTCCACATCATTCAAACTTGGAAATGTAATTCTCTTTCCTTTTTGGTGAAAACGCAGATGAAAACTCGGGACTTGTTATAATATCCCTCAGTATTTGCGAGAGAAGGAACAAAGTAACCCAGTTCCCAAAACCTGCAGACAAATTGGCGACTAGACTGCGAGGTAGTATACCGTGCAATGACTTGATTTATGCATCATAACACTTGACAAACAGTAACACAATTCTGACAATAGTAAATATTATAAAACCCGGGTTTCAGGATTCTATTAGACTAAGTAGATAAACCAGGCTGAGGAGTATATCTTGAACGATTCATACACACATAAGTCCAGAAGAAGTACTCTTATGACTCAGTCTCGCCTGTAATAGTAGAACACAAGGAAAGTATAGAAAATATCAGTTCCGATATATTAAAGTTCAGATCAACAATTTGATTACAGTACATACATGGAGTAACATCATCTTAATAGCTAAAAACTAAAGTTTGCTACAAAGTGAAAGATGGCCTCGTTAGTTTGACATTAGTTGTTTCAAATAATTGGAGAGTAACCCTGATCAAGCACGAGTTCAAAATCCCCGTTCAAAAAAACATCATTGGTTGTAATTACAGCTACATCGCTACACAAAGCCTAATTCGTAATGCAAACCTATACCGGAATATGTTCGAAAGCCTGGACCTGAAAAATAATTGATACGGCCAATCGGAATGAAACTACAAAAGCCAAAGTTTGAACAAGTATTAGTATCACTGCTCGCGCTAACTAATAAAAGGCAACATCAATAGTAAGCAGAAAATGCCAGTACCAGATTCCATCCAGTTATCTGACCACGAATAATTGTAAAGCAAAAAATGGAAGTCCTTTCATAAAAAAAGGCCATCTAATTTCTTCCCACTGGTATTTACCGCAAAATATTGACATTGCTGTTGTTGCTGACATTGTTGTTGTTGCGATTGTGATTGTTGCAATTGTGATCGTTATTATTATCATTGTTGTCGTCATTATTAGCGTCGATCATGTATTAAAACTGTTAACGAACAAGCTAAATTTATCAGTAGAAACTTGTTGCGCCGAAAACGTAGCCACGTTATCCTTTTTCGTTATTTGCGAGAACGTTTAAACTACAACATAAGATGAAACGAGGATGAACTCGATACAGCAAGAAATTCTTACATAACGAACGGAGTACTTATATTCCATTAAGTTTTCGTTGCTTGCCTGGGTGCCCATTAAATTGATCTGAATTCCCGAAATAATCAACTTTGCTATCAATGGTCCGTAGACGAGAGAAACGCCGTCGTTACCCAAGTTTGATTCTGCATATAGTTAATGTCATATTTGCATTCGGGTAACATTATAAAGACATCATATTATCATAGTCGAAAACTTCTTGTTAATAATTAGAAAATCGACTGATCGTTAAAACTAGCTGATTATATGTATAAATTCATGAGTACCCCTGTTATGTATTTATAAGCCAAACACATAAATTCCCGGTTAACATGAAGAGGGTGGTCTGTAATGGGAAAGCTGTGCATACCTGGCTTTCTGCTCATCAGTACATTTAGCCAATATTATTCGACATGTGCAGATAGAATCGAATTCTTTCGTTAGCATAGTTATAGAATAACGAATATCTCTTATTGTCTACGCTAAAGCAGCGCCAGGTTGATGGGTATCGTCGGATGTCGGGTTCCGAGTTTTGTTATAAGCGTGAGCGTTCCCCAGTCAAAGAAGGATATGATTAGTCTTCCTTTATCGTAAAGGGTGGCCTCGCTGTCAGAATACACTCAGCCTCCACAGACTCGACAAAATATTTGTTGTATTCACCCAAGTTTGTATAAAGTGGTATTTATGTCAAATCTAATAGTGTAGCGCTTGTATTAACATCAACATCAAAGTCGAAAAACTGACAGCTGCTTACTCTGTATTTATGACTACTAAAACCGCTCATTGACCCTTTAACAGCATTGAACATTAATGTTGCAAAGTCATGTTAATATATGTGTCAGTCATCCTCTAAACCCGATGCAATATCACTACTGCTTATTAAAATTGTGGCTTTTGGGATAGGGAAACGAAAACCAATAACGTTTATTACATAATGACATGAAGAAGCCTCTATTGCTCTACGCCTCAACGTTGCTTTAGTGAATTGTATTATTTCTTTCTTTCCTCTTTCAGTAACTGACGGCAAAAATATGCTCACCCCTTAAGTGACCCCCATATCGGTAACACCAACGGGCTAGATTTTTATTCATCTGTATACTATATTTGCGATCCGCCGTCTCGATCCAGGATGACGTGCTACTATTGTTTACCAAATCGGGATAGGCGACATCATGTAGGTACGCAAATTCGGCAGTTTGTACGCCAATGTTCATAATCCTGCATACTCATGTTATCGTAAGAATTTGCCTACAGATCTGACCTGCTATTCCGATCGAAAGCGTACGTATATGCAAGAAATATGCAAATATTATGTTAGTTATTGCAGGTTTGATTTTTTGATTGGTGATAAGGGGTCGATGATGAACGACCCCACTTTCATCGACCATTGGTACCCAACATCTTTGGACACTAGGCGGATGATATACCTTCATGTGTGATCAAAACTTCTCATCTCAAAGTTTAACTTGACCATATTGGAGTGAGCACATGCACTGCCTTACCATAAGTGTAAACAATAGTTGAGAGTTCTCAGAAAGTTGGGGAGTTTCCCAAAGAAATTAATTATTCATGAGAGACAAATCCTGCAAGTTTGCTTGGTTACATAAACAATTAGGGATATCTCAGCGAATAGTATTTCGTACATAATCCGACTGTCGAGCGTAATCAACGCGAGTGGAGGACCTTTGTGTAATACTCTAATAAAAGTAATTTAATGTATAAAAGATAATAGCAACTTTTTCAATGAACACCAAAATTGACTTACTGACCCCGCCATTATTATTATGAAATACCTGCAGAGCATGATATTGTAATAGTGTTTCGTTAAGACCAGATTACAAAGTCACCATCGCTCAAAGATGGGCTCTAACTACTTTGTTTTGAGGGCGTCTTGTTCGTGAGTGACTGGTTTACTCTTCATTTTGCATTAACTCGGTTCAGGACTTATGGGGAAAAGTTACTGCGCGTGAGCTATCTTCAAGTGTCGATCACATGGTGGTCAATGTGAACAGAACATAGATATGTGGTACAAACAAAACGTATTTACAGTGAGAAGCGTATATGATGATTACATAATGAAGCTGAAGCTCAAACGATTGTTTAGATAATGATTTAATAATCAATCAGTATGGAAAAATTCGAGATCTAATGAAAACAATGGTAAACAAGCATGTGGCTTTTAAAAGTAATGACATTAATAATATCTGCGACTTTAACAAAGAAAGCATGGACCTGCAGATTGTTGAAAAGATAAGACATTGGTGCAACCATTCTTATCTTAACGAAACAAAAACCGGAAAAATCCATATCCATAAGAAAAAATAATAAAGAAAGACTCGCCAAAATGTGTTCTCAGCTTCGCTGACTCCCACTAGCTTTCTTGTTTATCACGTGAAATATCTACATGGCGATAGTTACACGAACTGTACAAATTCTAAAGAATGATGAACGCAACACATTTTGCGCGGAAGAACAAATCCAAAAGTGTAAACGGCATAGTGGAAGAGCTCAAACTCCTATGGTGGGTAACACATTGCGCTCACATGAAGACGAGACAATTCTTATTCTAGAGCTTATGACTTGTACATGCAAGTAATTATTGGTGCAACCGTGGTTGGAATAGAAGAAACAATGGAAAAGTTGTCTTTCGTTTAACCCTGAATAATAGACCGTCTTATTCTGTATGGTCTTTGTGCGTGTTTAACAGGAAAGTGGTATGACGTGAAAGTAAACTATGATATGTATGTAACGTTCGTTGATGAAGGAATGACGAACACAACTCGTTCGGTCTTTGCTAATGATAGTATGTTATTGGGGCTTTTAGGCCGACAAAAACAATGTTATCAGAGTGACATTGTTGGTCGGTCCCCAACCCGAAAACATGCATTATCAGTATTCGAACACCCGAATTTATAACAGAGAATTGAGTAATATATAACCGGGTACTCAAAGGGAGGGACCGATCTAATATTAATAATTCAAAATTCCTTATCAATATCTGTATGTTTACTGTAATATAATCGGATAGATCGACTGGGCTGTGAATATTTTGGGAATTATCACAAGGAGCGCCAGAATTTGGGATTATTTAATAATCGTCAGGATCCCTATTTATTATTTGCATACATGTGACGCTGCTATAAACCGCAAATTAAACATTAATATGACCAGTAAACTATACGTATTATTAGCTTTATATTCACACCCATCTTAGATTGCGCCGTATAATAATTAATTTAAGCAATTCTATTTAAATGAAAAAGATATCATTTTGGATAACGGGTCTATTTTCTAATGCTTTGCATGTTGTATGGCAATGCGTACACATATCAAGAATTGGTAGGCGTCTATGATGGATGAAATGGCTTGTATTGTTATCGGTTATTGTTATCAGTCAGTATGGCTGATGTTAGTGACACAATGATGAATGGCACCAGATTTAATAAACTTTTTGCAAGGCAAAGATCTGCAAACCTGTCGAAAATCTTTCCTTTCTCGTCATTGAAAGTCTCCCCCTTGGTTAAGAGCTACAAAATAGTAAAGATCCAAAATGCAGGAAACCACGGAATCATACCGCGCCAAGAAGAATGAATTAAAAATCAATTAAACTTTGCCGTTGTGTCATCGACAACGTTACAAACGTCAATTATTAGTATACGTATTCAGATTCTATTTTAAAAAACGAAGACACAGTATAAGTCAAGGTTACTTACATCAAAAAGGAGTATAAGAAATGTTTATGCACAAGAAAGAGATAATGCAAAACAAATTGAGTACTACGCTCGTTATTATTCTAAACGCCATTAAAGGATATGTTTGCACCAGTACAACCGGTTCTGTCAATATTAAAATGCATTTAGTTACCAGTATTATTATAAACTATATTACTTAAATATATACACACTGAATAAACCCAAATGTATGATTTATTTTGTTTATGCTATAACTCTTACTAATCTATGAATAGAATATACGCACATAATACACACGCAAACACATATATATATGCAGAATCAACACTGTCATCTCCAACCCAGCACACATTTTGATTTAGGCCCGTTATCACAACATGCCCCACATACGCTCGTACCGTAAAATTCGATTTCCTTGTTATTCCCAGACTAATATCAATGCTACTCTCTCGGTTGATGGCAAAGCCATCATCCTTAAACTGCCAAGTGGACGGCAAAAAATCATGGAAATACCCACGCCGGAACAAATCATAGAGGAATGTAAAGGAACCGCTTACACGGCTTTTCGAATTTTCCACAGAACGCTGGTTACGGGCCTAAAAGATGAGCCTTACAGGCCATATGAAGTACAAAATTTGGCGTTAAAGTCGTGGCGTTCGGTCGGCCATGACTTGAAAACTTTATACCAGACCCTTAATATGGATACGAAAACGCTTTTAAAGTCTAAAAACTTTATTTTGGATCAATGGTGCAAACGGATTTTGCATAATCAAAATCAATCATGCGCCGATGAAGAAACCAGCGCCTTCGCTACGTGTTCTGAAAATTTTTCTGAGTATGCATCTCTCAACGATGCGGTCCCAGAACACAGTACAGGTAGGACGTCATATAATCATTAAGAAGGCTTATTAAAAATCTGCAAATGACAATTTGTTAACGAGCGATTATATATGTACCAACAGACGCATTAAACTTTTATCAACAAGATTTTGTTAACTATCAGAATTTTTTTTCGCCGTGGGAATTTTCGTTACAAGATATGGGTATGTATCGGGCCGTTAATTTTGATGTTACCAAATTAGAATTACATTTATCAACTAAAGATTATATAGATCAAGAAGGTTCATTTATATGCGCGGCAAATCCCGCTGACATCAACGATACCAACGCTGTGGTAATGCAAGATTTTTTTAACCCAGAAGATCCATTATTTGCAGAATTTGAATACCTTATAATCGCAACAGAAAATAACTATCTAAGTACCAGTGCGTTCTTTGAAAAAATTTTTGTTGACACCGCTTGCTGTCATGACGCATAGCATACTGATTTGATCCATTTTTCTAATCCACAGATTATATCATATAGATGCATAAGCATCCAATAGCTAACAATATGATATAGTGTATATGATAAATGCAAACAACTTGGCATATAATATGAGTAAGTATGTATTTTGTTATGGCTAGTAATAGCCTTATTGATATAATATAAGCTTGAATTGGCTATTGTTCAGGCAGTTAAGATTCAATATGAGTCATTGATCAATCTCCGGTTGAGGTACCGATCGATCACACAACTATGAAACTAAATGTAAGCTCGATTTGCGCGAACCTTCACACCGCAAGTATTTTCCCTATGTTTCTAAGAAATAAAGTTTAATTTTGTCAAGGTGAGATCATGATACACAGATAGAATGTCGATTATTTGAAACGTACAGGAAACCTTACTGATATACCTTAAAGAAATCTTTAAGTTGTGGCTTTATGCTAGACTTGCAGATGACCAAAAGAAAAATATTCATTACCGTTATCGATTTGTTTTTTAGAGCTCAAATATAAGCTCATGTGCAAATAACGCAAATCTCTTACTATCATCGTATATAATCATGGAATGTCCTCAGTTGACAATTCACAGTATATATTAGGGCACTTTTTGAGCTAAAGGTTTATCAGAATGTGTTTTTGAATACCTACTTCATGCGCGACAAACCATGATGGTTTAAAAAATCCTGTTATTGTAACTAACTAGTGTAATTACGGGATTTTTAATTTGATTTTTCATTAGATGGAATACTTACGTAGTCCAATATGATAATTAATGGCCAATCACATGTACGCCTGATAAATTTAATGCAATCTTTTTAGATAGAACAACGGTCAATAGAACTACAGTAATAAATTGTTACACATTAACCAGTACCTTGTAAATTGTCGATGTTTCAGAATCCCCAGATAACGATTTGTTTTGTCAAGCGCCTTATAAATCAAACAAACAAAACATGAAAAATTGCCGCCTTGCAGAAGTTTACAGGGCTTTATAATAAATAGTCGGTACTTAGCATTTATTTTTTCCTCATGGCTGATGACACAGAAAAAACAAAAAACGAACCAGAAGCATGGTAACATATTGTATGAGATCCAAAGTTAAACAATGGCTTACATTAGTTCGTATATACAAACAATTGAAAATTTTGTAACTCACGCTGATATAATTACTATACGCAAGAATAAATATACACTTATCGCTGTATATACGCATACAGATTTATACAGGTAAAACTTGTTTAAACCAGCGGGCTCGTTTGCTGGTTTTTGGCCGGTTTAGCCAAAGACCGGTTCAGAAAATTGTTTAACTAGATAAAGTTTCTAATTAATGAAATTTGGTATAGTCGGTTAAACCGAATCACCTGTATAGTAAACGCCACGTGATAATACGTTGTCTTCCACTCGTTACAGCCATGATATTCGTTCCTCAATGTCACATTGGTGTTCACACGTAAGAATCGGTGCAACCTATTGAAGAAGTAAAATACACGGTCATTTCCACGGGAAATTTCTCTTACCTTATTGTTATAACTTTTATTATTACAATAGGAGTTTTATTGTTTCCTATAATTTATTGAAATATTTAATTCGTGAAATGTGTGAGCAGAAAGTGTCTGTTCTCACTTATTGACATATTCGCGATTGGTTTCGGTTTTTAATAATACTCCAATACACTTATTCTTGCTTTAAATTTTTTCCTCTAGTTCCTCAATTTGACCTAGCGGCGGTCGTTTTCTAATTTGTAACGAATCTCTTCCACAATCTTAAGTCGTCCACTTCAGTTTCCACATGTCTAATTAGTTCCATAGTCCAATTGTTGGTAGACATTCAGCGAAGGGTTGAAAGGGGAGAAAATCTTTCTGTTATTTATAACAAATTAACTGTAACACTATTACCCATACAATGATATTCAAATTTATTGACTGATCTCTGTCGCAAAGTCGTTTTTTTTTTTTTGCACCAGAGCATGGCGCTAGAGTCGGAATCTGTAAATCACACATACAATCTGTAGATCAATGCTGTGCTACTAAATTCCAACCAATAATCTATCAAAATTCGTGTGCTCACAGGTTACGCGATTTCGGACACGCCCGAAATGGCTAGTTGTTGGGGCGTTATTTGCCTGTTAGTAATTGTCAAACTCTCGACGGAGAACTTTCTATTCGGCAGCCAACCGTTCAGAATAAGATGCTTTACGATAAAAAAATGCCATGGCAATTACACATTTACAATTTCATCGAAGACCGCACGGTCATACGGATGGCGGTGTGCGTTTTCCTTTGCTGGGACAAATATTTAGCGCATAATATCGTAATACTTCATTAATGATTAAATCATGTAATCGTCTCTCCGGCGGCAGTTCAACACGACGATCGGATATTTAACGCAATGATGTGCTTGTTTGAGTGATGATAATGAGATCTTAATACAGTTGGAATGCTCTATGTGTCGGGATTTTACAGATATCATTTTTGTGTTCTGTCTATCAGTAATAATGCGATATATTCTCTCAAGTAAGGCAGCAACTTAACTACATATTGCGAATTGTAACACTTGTTTATCCGCACCGTTCATCGAAGCTGGGAGTATCGGCGTGGTACCCACTACTACAACCGCTCGCAACAATTATAGTACTCACCATAAATATGAGAATCAAAGTGCTATACAAACCGTACACAGGAACGGGACACTTACCGTGAAATTTAAATAATCATCTTTTTGACAAAATGTTAGATTTTTTGACAAGATGGTGACTTAAAGCATATGGCCAAGGAAACGACTGAGGTTCTCCATTATCGGGTCGAAAAGTACTTGACTGTCTTATAGTTCCAACCAAGGAACCTATTAGGAAAGAATTGAGAGACGAGTTACCAAATGAATGGGAAAGAGAAAATGGTTCGTGTTGCAATTGAGATGAAGAATAGTAAGTCTGTGTCTTGATTTTGTAAATGGGATGTCGGACGCCTGAATGAAGTTATGCATTATCTATTAGCAACAGTATTTTTCTACCTTGCTTGTTCATGTTTTTATCAAGCATAAGAAAAATTTCATTAAAAATACTCACTTACAAGATGTCAGCAATAATAAACTGAAAATTATCAATATTTAACATTCTCATTGATTACGGTCTCTGATATTGGTAAATAAAACTCGGTTTCGTCCTCTCCGCTCCTAGCAAATTTACTGCACAAGAAAGTGTAACTCAAAATTTGTTTTTTCGTAACCTGATAATGTAGTACGAACAGAACGCGTGAAGGCTCCAAAAGGAGTTGCATCATCATTCCGAAGTGATGGTGCTCTCTCAGTTTTTTAATTGACGGAGCCCATTATCATGGTGATGTTTAAAGCTTGTTAACCACCCTTCCGATGAACGAAGATTGTTAATTGACAGCTTGATTGCAAACAGTCTACTTCTCTTTTAAAAAACTGCCAATAGTATCCTGTTTTGCGTTGATCGCATTATCAACCCAAGACTAAGAGCTTGTTCAAGTTTTGGCCATTTAGGTCTGCCAAACTTTTTTCAAATTATCTTGTTCAGCTGTAATAGAAAGCCAAATATCAGTCACTGTCGCTTTTCAATACTTTTTTTTTCGCAAAATTTATGTTGCTTAAACTTGGATTATCTTCTTTTATTTCACAGAGTTCACGCTTTAGGCAACAGCGATATTGTTCGCTTCCGGTTTGACATTATTTTAATTAACGTGTGTACGAGTTGGCGCTTTCTTGGGACACAAGAGTTTTATACCAAATACTGACAACATAATTAATGTATTATTTCATTTTATTATTTCATTATTTATTTTTATTTGACTTTAACTTCAAATAGTTTTAGTCAGAAGCATTGGCGTAATATTAACATTATTATGATGGCAGGGCAAATGTTATTTTGGTAAGCTGGGTGTGGCTTATACTTTTCTCTTGATACCCTAAAGCAGTTATTCGTCACGTACAATGATTTGTGTTTACGTGACGTGAATATTCGTTATATGAAGAGAAAATTTGTATATAAATTTCGAAAGCTGAGATCATCATGAGTTCAGAGAATTTATTGGGTAAATGTCATGTGATTGACAAGTTATTGGGGGATAAAGGATAAAAATAACTAATACGATAATTCGGACTGTTTATTCTTAGAATACGCGCATTTTGAACCTAGTCCCGCAATTTCAAGCCGCGTTACGCGTTTAAATCGCATGATCACGTGAGCGATTCGAACAAATTTTACTGATTACCGTTAAATATATTGGGCATATACAATACCTTACAACAGTTCAACTTTATCATTGGTACTCTGGCTGTGCGGCTGTGTGGCGGGGACGTAGCCTTGTGCAGTCAATGCTTGGGAAGAGGTTTTCACAACGACCATTGGGATTGTTTTCCAGTGCCATAGCGCGATCGTCTCTTTTCCAGAGAGCTGTTGTGTCGATGTCTCGGTTTATTCATCCATTTCATGTAGTCAATGAGCATTTTCTAAACCATTTACTGCCTTTTCAAGCTGCAGAAGAGAGCTTTAAAGCTCTTTGAGAACGTGAAAAGTTTTTCGAAGTGAGGAAAAATAATTTTGCTTGATGCTAATGGGGATATAAGTTAGATGCAAATGATGCGTGGTCGAACAGTTGATGCTTTTTGCCACTATTCCAGACGAGCAAATCTTTGAAGATGGCGACGATGACAAATTCCGTGAGTTCTCCTAACGACCTTGGTATCCACAGCTTGTCAAAGCCTTCTTTAAGCATACATTATCGCCTCATCTTTGTCTGAATTTTGTAATGATAATTGAATTGTCATTGAGATGGACGGTGAATGGAAGTGGTTATACACTCAGTACCAAAATTAAAATGTATTTGCCGATCAATAGTAAAAACATAAAAATCTATTTTTTGATTATTCGTATTTACTATGCAAGTAACAATAAATTTTGGAGCTAATTGATTGTAAGATCATGATATTGGCTTAGTAGATACAGTTGGAGACTTTCGAAAAAATAGATTTTTCATGTTTTACTGTTGATCCGCAAAATCTGGCGAATACCTTTTGGTAGTGAGTTAAAATCTTAGCATCTTCAGCATGTATAGTGGAAGATAATAATAATAGATCAAATGTTTTGAGATATTACCAATTTATCCTTTATAATCCTTTATAGATTGCAGTGATATTAAAAGTTTTCAGTCATAATTCCACACAATTCGTACAATATGATAACAAGTTCTTAGCCGGCCAGCGTAAGTTATTTGTAACTTTATTCCCGCAAATCACCCTTCCATGTCCCTGAATGTGATCTTCAAAATGATTTCTTCCTTTTCGTCACCATTCACATTCTCACTATTACATACAGCCAATGTCTCACAAATCGAAAACTCATTCAACATGCTGATGGCACAATGTAACCTATGTTTCCTTTCTTGCCCTGGGGGGAATTCTGTAATAAGTGATTTCACCGAGAGTTCCTTTTTATCAGAGTCAAGAAGTAGTTGGATCATTCGGTAAATGGTTGAACCAAGATTATCAATAGGAAAGAGAGCTTTGGTGAGAAGCTGGGTATTTTGGAGACTTCGAGCGCGAGTTCGGTTTAGATTTTGAATTAAGGATGCTGCCTGGGTAAAGAAAACGGTCGATGTATGAGAAACAGCATCGTGAGTCCGGCCGATGCTAAAAGCCATAAACATATTTACCTCTGCATGATCCTTCTTTACCGCTTTTAGATAAATATTGCAGGCAGATTCAAAATCTTTAATCAAGTCAGCTTTGTTATATTGAGGGAGCATGTAAAAAAGTAGGTATATAGATGAACAGACAGTCAAAGTTACGGTTCGTATGATCATCACAATAATTCTTTCAAATCTTACATTGCGTAGCAAGAACCCGTTTCGCTCCTTCGCGATTATTTTTAAAGAACTCCAGTTGTTTTTCATACTCTTTCCATCTCTTATCAGCTAATATGAGAAAGATAAACTGTGAGCAGAACTGCGATAATAATGTAACATTAATAATCACGATTTTATACGTGACAGCGTCCTATCGTTGCCACTATAAAGAGTACCATCGTCATTAGGTGTAGGTTCTGCTGGTTCTTGCTGCCTATCAAACGATAACTGTTTCTCTTGCAATACTTGACGACGTTCACTGATTTGAGATTGAAGCTGGTCCATTTGTTTCTCAACAGATTCTATTTGCTGCTGGGTTAACGACTGGTAATAATGTTATTAAATGTATTAGTTGCTCCCATATCGTGCGTATAAACATTTTCGCTATAATGACTATCAATATTATATTTAACCATAGCTGGAACTTCTACAGTCGATCTCGTCCGTTGGTGCAATTCAGCCTCCTATAATACGCCAGTGCAAGAATAACTCAGTTATTTATAATCGCCGCTCACATATCACTTATCGTACACGCTAATTCACCAACCTTCCTCGCAATGTCCTCGACCAGGTTGTCTACAAATTGGGCTAATCTCTCTTTCTTCATCTTCAAAGTTTTAAGTTTCTTCTTCAACTGTGCTGGTTGAGAGTTGGGATGCACATTAGGTTGACCTTTGGAAGCAGATAGAGAGGATGATGGAAGTAGTTTGGATGATTCGAGCTTAGCTTCACGTTCGTCAACCTAGTTTTGTACGAATTCACGGAGGATGAAGACGTGGAATAAAAAGGTAAATCAAATGATGGGCGACTGATTTGTGTATCGTATAGTTACAATTCCGTAGTATAATTCACAATAAATAAAAAGTTACCTCATATTGAAGTTTTTTCTCTTTGATTTCCAAAACTGTCAGCTCCTCTTCAACTTGAGCTATTAGGCGTGACACCTCGGGAGCTAATTCTGCAGCCAACGCCTTTTGAGCCTCGCCTATATCTTTGTCTGTCACTAACTCGTAATGCTGTTTAACAGAGCAGATAAAAGAACGTCACGGGTTGAAATGAAGTATGGAAAGCTTACATGCAATGAGCAGGAAAGAAATATTAATGAATTGAGATAATAGGGAATGGGATTAAAATTGCCTTTTAAACCAACCCTTTCGCATTGAATCACTTGGTTCAATCGAGAGAACTCGCGCGTATCGTATTCCAACTTTTTAACTGAAGTTTGAAGCTGGGCGTTTGTGAAAAGATGTTGAGAACGTAATAATAATCAGTCGAATATAACTATGGATATGCGTAGAGAGACGTAAGCGTAATAGCATATAGATTCCATTAATCCTAATATTCATTAACATCTTTATGCTCAACAAACAAGCAACAGCTCAATACCAATAAACTGCTATTCTGCAACTTCTCTACGCACTTCTCTAAACTCTGGATATATGCAGGTGGTAGCTGAGGGTTATAATACGCGTAGTTTGCGGGCCTTGTTAGCGACATTTGATTCCGATGCTTTCGCCTGAGAGTGTTCGCGTCGGTGTATATTACTAATTATCACGTGATTATTACCATAATCACGAGACAAAGTATGTCTTGGGTGATGCAACTACGTAACCAGCACATTCTAACCGCAACACCATTACACCAGGCGCAAAGCTTATTTAAAATCACCACATTGCAAAAAGCTTTCCTCCAGTCAGCTCGCAAACTTGTTTAATACTTACTTCAAGCTCTTCGGGAACTTGTCGTTATATTCAATTAATCAAAAGAATCAAACAAGTTGTTAGCTAACTGATTCTACTCGGAAATTTAGAATTACGATAAATAAGTCACACTATCCAAGAGTCAAGTCCGTAGTTTAATTTGATCATTTAAAGAATAAAGACATGATGCTGAGGCTGTTGGGAAATCCTTTTGATGATCTTGTTGGTAAGTTATGTTGCATTCTTGTATATGTTACGGCGAAAACAACGCTTTAGAAACTCGATGACGTTCTATGTGACGTTCTATGTTTTTTTCCCTTCTACGCATGTATCCGCCGACCGCTAAATTTTACCCGTGCGTTTATTTACTCTTTCAACTATCATACAATTACCCGCCTGTTTCTCGTACCCAGAAAAAGCAACGTCGGAGTTGCTCCCTAGAGGCCAAGAAGACTTGGCAACAAACTACGAGATTAGTGACCAGATACGCAGTAAAACTGTGCATCCCAAGGATGCCATGAGATCACTAAAAAAAAGGATTGATCATAGTAATCCGAATGTGCAGTTACTGGCTTTAAGTGTGAGTATTTTATTTAATTGGTTGATCAGTTGGTTCTTTGCGGAAGGATGAGAAAAAGAATGAATAAATGACTGTTGAGAATAGGCTGTACTGTGTGGTGGTCTACAATATTGAGTGATATGCTCAATTTTATCACTTTTAATACAAAAATTACATGCTTTATATGCAATCTACTTTTTTGAGCTAGATTTGTTTTTTTGATCTGATGTTAATTGTCCAGGCATTTTTTCTTCCATTTTCCTTAGCTCACTGATACATGTGTAAAGAATGGCGGCACGCATTTTCTGATAGAAATCGCTTCTCGCGAATTTGTTGACAACCTTGTCTCTATAGTCAGAAACCCTGTAAGTATATAATATGAATTATGTGCCATGCAGTTTATCTATTAGAGTCCATTTCAGTTAAAACCGAACAGTGAGAATTTTTTTTGCTGATTTTACTTCACTTTCATCCTTTTTCAGATTGGTGTGAATATAGACGTTAGAAACAAGATTCTAGCATTGATTCAATCTTGGGGCTTGACATTTGATAGTAAACCTGAGCTACAATACATGGCTGATACTTATAGGCTGTTGAAATCGGAAGGTAGTTGGACAGAGTTGATTAGAATATCAGTATTGTGGCTTCTGCTCTTTTTATACAAGTTGGCCAAAGTATTAAATGTCTTTTTATTTGGACTAAATTAAAGGCTTGCCCTTCCCAAAGGTAGAAAAGACAACTGCGTTAATGATTGACACAGAAACTGTAAGCAATAATTTTCACTTTATATTCGAGCGTTTTTATCAACATAACCTTCACGACAATTTCATGCGTTTGTTCTCACATTTTCTCTCATCACATGAAACAGGCACCCGAGTGGACAGATAGTGATGTCTGTATGCGTTGTCGAACGCCGTTCACTTTCACGAACCGAAAACACCACTGTCGCAATTGCGGACAGACATTTTGTGGAGAATGTTCATCAAAGACGGTGTCCCTTCCCAATTTCGGAATAAATGATCCAGTGCGAGTATGCGATCCGTGTTTTGGGAAAAGAACACTTAGAAACAGGAGGTGAGCAGACTGGAACGTTTTAATATTAACCCAACACTATTTATGTTTTATTAACAAAAGAATTACGGCTTCATAGTGCTAGCCTCGACCTATCCCCAAGTATCACCAAACCGTATTTAGTAACACCAACGATTTCCGCTCCGGCAAGCAAATCACACTTTTCGGATGATGAAGACGATGAAGACATCAAGAAAGCCATTGAACTCTCACTCAAAGAAGCCGAATCATCACGTGGTCGATACACATCACCACCTAAAAAGAAGCCAGAGGTTAAGAAAGAAGAGAAAGTCGCTGAAGAAGATGATGAGGAATTAGCTGCTGCTATTGCAGCATCGTTAAAAGACATGGAGAACAATGAGAAGAGGCAAAGTCAGTATGGATTCGGAGGATATAAACCGAATTTAACGTATAAGAGTACTTTCGTGAATAATGCGGTAGGATATTCGGCAAATGAGCTGACCTCTTTAGAAACGGATAATATTTATCAGTTCGCAGAACTGGTTGATCGGTTGCAATATACGGGAGGAGATTTGATGCGAGACCGACAAGTTCAGGTTAGTATACTGTAGAAACATCTGTGGGAATTATCGTTTGCAAAAAGGAATGCAAGTCTTGACATTTTAACGTATTATTCTTCTAACACGGCAGGATTTGTATGATAGAGTTGGTGAGCTTAAACCGAAATTAACTAAATCACTCGCTGAAGCGATACAAAAACACCGTAAGTATACAGCGCTTTTTTTTTAATTTTGCTTCCTCTATCTTAATATATTCATTTCTATTCTCCGAAAATACAGAGGAGCTGGCTGACATGCATGATAAGCTCGCTCAGGTTGTAAAACTCTATGACAGTCTTCTTGATCAACGACTGTCGTCAGCTTACCTGCGTCGCACATCAGTGTACTCTCCACCCACCCATCGCACAGCTTCGCTCACAGTCCCGCCTTCTATGGCGCCTACATATCCTTCGATCACTCCCTCCCATAACGCGTCATATCCATTGGCCTCTGCACCTTCTCCGTCACCTACATATTATCATCAGACTGTTACTCCGACCCAGTATGGGGGGAGTGAATTTGGCGATGGGAGAGCGAGACAACAATTTATTCAGGAACAGCAAGATATGCAACAAGGGATGATATCAGGACAGCAAACTGGTTATTCGGCAAATCAGCCGCAGTATTCATATGCATATTCTACTAACCAAGGCGGATATGGACAAAACGTTGATGGTGGGGTTGGACAGATGGGGTATGCAAATGGATTTCAGCAAACACCACCACAATCACAACAACTACAACAAAAACAACCGTCATTACCACAACAGACACAACAACCACCGCAGCAACTACCACAACAGCAGCATGCATATACTCCTCAGGGAAGTGTTGGCGGATATGGTTTCGCTGGGTGAGTGTTAATAATATTGATGACTTGCTCCGTACATGTCAGATCGCTTACGTCTCTTTCTCCTCCGCTACACAGATTCAGTCAACAGCAGCTAGCTCAACAAGAACAGCAGCAACAAGAGCAACAACCTCCTCAGCAACAACCTTCTCAGCAACCTCCTCAGCAACCTCCTCAGCAACAACCTCCTCAACAGCAGCCTTCTCAGCCGCTTTCTCAGCCGCTTTCTCAGCAGCAACCTCCTCAGCAACAACCTCCTCAACAGCAGCCTTCTAAGCCGCTTTCTCAACCGCTTTCTCAGCAGCAACCTCCTCAACAACATCCTTCTCAGCCTCTTTCTCAGCAGCAACCTCCTCAGCAATCTCTTCCCCAGCAGCAGACTAATGGTTATCAACAGCAACAGCTATATCAACCGGAACAAGCACAACCTGCTCAGCAGCAGGCCAATGGCTACCAACAGCAACAATTATATCAATCAGAACAATCACAACCTCCTCAACAACAAGCTAATGGCTATCCACAGCAGCATTTATATCAACCAGAACAATCACAACCTCTTCAACAAGCCAATGGCTATCAACAGCAACATTCATATCAATTAAATCAATCACAAACTCTTTCACAGCAGTCCAATGGCTATCAATCATACCAGCCAGAACAATCTTACTCTCTTTCTATTACGAAGCAAGAACCCATAAAGGAAACTCCGTTGCTTATTGAATTGTAATGAATGACATTTGATATTATACAATGATGGTGGTAGTCGATTCCGGAAAGAGAAATGGACACAGTATGTGGTGTATTATAATCTATATCTTTGTTGTAGTAAATTCTTTTTTTCTTATTTCGTTGCTATGACCTGTATGTATTTACAATAAACTTTGGCACTTTGATTACAAGTGGGTGTAATGTGCTTTACTCGTCGATTATATGCATACTCACAACAAAGCCAGTCAAAGTAAACAAAATGCCGGAATTATTAATATTAATGTTTAGAAAACCGTATATGGTTATTCATATATAACCATTTATATAACTACATTGACTTATATAATTCATTATATAGAATCGAGTCTATTTAAAAAAGAAATATCTTTGATTTGGACTATGAAAGCCTGCTGAGGAACACTAACAATGGAGGAAATAAAAAATAGCAGTCAACACTGGGAGTATTCACAAAGTCTTATTCAATACGTAGTGCACAGTATCTGTATATTCTCTTCAAGATGTTGGCATGATGCAAGAATTCACGCACATTAATTGAGACATTAACAAGCTCTCTAATATTATATTCGTCTCTTGTCGGCGACAGCACAAGTCTGCCAATCGGCAAAACAGTAACATGGGTACTAGTTCACGCAAATCTGATTCGTTTTAACGTTTCGATCACTGCTTATCACTTGCTGCGGTTTTCCTAATATGGGTGCCTATCTTTGGTTTCATGCTAATTTGTTCATGGAATCATTTACATAATAATAATAGAGATGATCTGTCTCCTTGCTTTAGCAATCGGTATAAGTCAGGCTTCATGAAACACTCTGATAATATGTTGTCTGTCGTTTAATACGTAATTAAAAGTTGTAATATACACACGAACCAACGAAATGGATCGCACGTCACAAAAGATGAAACTTAAGGCTGAAAAAGAGTCAATACTTTGTATCATTATGGCGTTTCATCACTATAACTAAGGGGTGTAAAAACCTGTTTTCATGTGATCCCATAGTCACTGAAAAAGCGACGCTTATTAGATGCACGTTTATTTATCAGCAACTTTTAATACAGCGAACAAATGATTATCATGCACAGTCGTGGCACTTGGTTATCACGAATTCAACAGAATAAAGAGCAAGTCAAAATTTCAGCCAATGCTTCGTCAGGCCATTTCACATATTCAGTGGTATTGACCTTCTCTTTACAGCAAGTACGATATGAAATAAGATTGAATGGCCTGTCAAAGTTATCTATCATTAGTATTAAACAAACCATAATATGCAATGTTTAGTTAGCAGAACGAAACCGAACAGTTGGTAGTGAAATTATGAGAGTTGGGATCTCACGTTAATGATTGATCGCATATTGCTTGATATCAGAGAATTACTGGTTATGTGGAAATGAAACTCTATTCTGATTATGTGTAAATGAGTGTGTTCTTTCCGCAACGATCGTTAAACGCGTTGGCTCATTCGTCATTGTCGGCGAATGAAGTGACTGTAGTCCCGTTACACCATCGTCATTTCATTGTCGGACTAATAGACTGAATTAAGCAATCTCAGAATAGTTTATTTACTCTTCATTGCCAGATATGGAGAATGTATGCTATTGTCATCGTTATTGTGGACACTTAAAACTGGGGGAAGGGGACAAGGTAATAAATAGGCTTGCGTTTATAATCATCAAAGGAAAGTGTCATGAAATAATACACAAATAGGTTTATAAAGGACCGACAACCTTTTCGTGAGTGGATTTTTTTACAAAGACCAAATTAGAAGAGAAGTCTAACCATAGGCGTTAGATAGCATCTCAATACGAGCTTCTCTGTAGAAAATAAACCTTTCCCTAAATCGTTTGGATACGACCGTTAGAACTGTGCATATAACCTATTTTTACATATATTGTCAAAAGCATACTACACATACCTCATCGCACTTATATATATATACACTCTAACCTCATTATACGACATTATGTCTCTAAATCTTCTCATTCCACTTGTAATGTTCCCTTTTCTTGTCGCACTTCCTACTTTTTGTTGTTGTCTATGCCGACGGATATGTCGCCGCGACTACAACGGTTTTCCACTTCCATATGGCAACCAAGCGGAACGAGTGGTTTATGTGTATCAATACAGCCCAGACGACGAGAGTTATATGATGGCTGTTGAAGACGAGGAAGACGAAAGAAGAGAGAGAGCGGGAGGTTACGGATGTTATACCGATGAACCGCCTAAATATGAAGACGTCGTTAGAGAGGATGGGGAGGAAAGAAATCGTGAAAGCGCGAACAGAGATGTTTTGGTTCATATAGACGTGAATGCAAGTGAAAATGTAGATATTAGGAATGGTGATGAGAGGAGAGAAGGTGATTCCGTAATTGTGCGGGATGCAGGGTTGAGTGAATTCACAGAATTGGGTCAATTGATCAGTGTTGGACAACCCTCCGCTGGGGATCAGTCTATAGACGTGTCGTTGGTGAATCTGACAACGGAGTGATGACACGTCCGGACGATGTGGTGCAGTCAGCGAAGAAGCATTCAAAAAGGACATTTCTACGGATGGACGGACTAGCGTCTGGTTCTCATTGATGCTATAACAAATACCATGATGATAATGTAGTTTCGATTGATTCTTCTCCCTCATGTCGCAAATTATTTAATGAAGTATTAAAATCTTTTTTTTTTCAAACCAGTCAAGCTAACTGTTAATCATTGGAATACTCCAACTACTATTATTTAATATAGCCAAATGGGATGTGATTTTATATAAAGCTAAGCGGGGGTAGTAAACATATAAATAGTTGCTTTAGGATTCCATTACCGGATCTTGTGGTAATTGTAATACCCTTTATTTTTTAGATTATGATGTTCCGTTTGTCTTTTTTTAAAGCGAAAATTGTGATTAACGTTGGGATCTTGCAGGTGTTGTAATCAGGGATCAGGCATGTTTATCTATTCGATCAAAAGGTTTCTTTTGTTGGCAGAACACTCTGGGCTGTCATCAAATGATTTCATCTATACATTTCATTGCCACAGTTCCTTGCTTCTTTTTTCAAAAGCACTAGACGGATCAATAATTTTCGATGAATTCGCGCTATAGTATGTAGTAGCTTATCCTTTCTCAGGTCGGGATTGAAAACTATGTCATCGTTTAAGCAAAACGCATTCCTCCTAAGGTAATGCTATTAAAGAAAAACCGTATTGCTTCGCATAGGATTAAATTTAATTTGGTGTTTTTTGTATACCTGTATATAACAATTAAATACTTTGCTTTATTTGACTATACCTTCCTTGATGATTTTACACGCCAGACACGTTGTAGGAATTTCGTTGCTATGGATTTCTCACGAGAAGCCATAATGTAAATTTCGAATACCTTAAATAACACACTGACCTTGTAAAGGACTACTTGCCAATTGCTATCGCGTGTTGACGTTCCCAAATAAAAAAACAAACAAACAAACAAACAAAAAACGATCTTACGGCTGACGGATAATAACAATGTTTCTATTTATAAACACCCGGTCTATCAGACCCTCGTATTTACTGATTACACCTGTCTAGACAGATATGGAGAATGTCTCTTAGCATTTACTATGGCTGCTTGAGTATCAACGAACTTGCGTTGTCGGTGGCGAAAAGCTAAGACACTGAGAATTGGCTGTCTATAATAGAGACTAATTTTTTCATTTATGATTGATAAATTCAAGAGCATATTATTTTGTTATTGTAGAAGAGATATGGACAAAGGATACGGTTACCGTGTTTATTATCACGACATTCCGAATAATAGATTTGTCAAGATACTAGTACGTATCGTTCTTTTTTGAACTGCATTTCAATCTAATCCTAACAAGGGTTACTACCATTACTATTCTTTGTTGTAATGTGCAGCATAACGAGTTTACGTTATACGGCAACTACAATGACTTGAACGTGACTTAGTCTGCTTAATACACCCAACAATAAAATTCTGCAGATACCAAATCACAGCCCCCTGTTCAAATGCATAAACTTTTCCCATACATGGGCACACATAAAAATTCAGAGAAATAGTTTCTCGCATTTCAGAAAGTATCCGTAATCCGAATTATGGGGCTCGTCTTTAGGGAGCATGCAATGCAAGTCATCAAAAATGTCTTTATCATGTGAAGGACAAATCGATTACTTTTGAACCTAAAAACGACATGTCTTCCATTGCATTGTGTACAATACGACCATAAACTCTAAGTAATTTACAAATGCGCAAAAGTAAAATGCGATCAAATAGAAAGCTTATTTTGATTTACGTGCAATATTTCTATGATACAATTTCTTGCTCGAGTAAATATATTACTATATTGCAATCTTGCCGTAAACGTCCAAATGATGGTCCCTCTTTGAGAAGACGTCATTTGGCGTGAGTATTACATGAAGTTAAAAGAATGAATAGTTTATAAGCGTTAATGCATATCATATTGATCTCACACTATCAATTATTTGATGAATAAGTCATATTAACGAACTACCAATCACGAGTGATGATAAAAAAAGAGAACCACCGGTTGCTTATATTTGCGAAAGAATGACTCAGCGAAGGTATTAGACTTCTGTACAGTTAATGAAATGCAATAAATAACATGTTCTGTTCGAATACTTGGTTGAATATAATGGGGCTACACATATATGGGTTAATTCTCTGCGCTTTGGGCGACCAGTCCTCCATCTGCTTTGTTCAAGAATTCTTATATGGTAAAGGTTTTTTTGAATAACAAATAAGTGTATTATTTATGTAATCGAATATTCCTAATCGAACCCTTGCAACGTTAGATTCGCTTTGCTAAAAATTAGATTGTTTCAGCTAAAACGCTTTTCCACATCTTCTGTTCCATATATGTATGCATTCATGGTATACAAGCGGGAAAAAAGCTGACAAATCGATAATACTGGTAATATATTTACAATTTGGCGCAGTAAAACCAATACTAGGATACTCCCAAATACGGGTGAAACATTTGCATAGCACATATAAAACTCATTACCCACAACGAGAGAATGACCATATTACTCTCATTCCCAACAACAATATAAACGAAGGTACATACCATCGTCTACAACTGAATTAATATCATTGTCTCTACATACATGTATGTATTCTTCTTCGTATGCCAAACGACACATAACATCAGATAGCGTAAGGCGCACTCGGTGCAGCTTGCATATTTTCCACTTCGGTCTGCTGACCTGGTAAAAATATTTATTGATTGTGCCATAAAACATAGGACATCATTCTCGTCACAATAGATACACGAACAAAGGTAAGAATGGTGTGATGTTAATATTATTTCCAATACAAGTAGAATGTAATGCAATGATTGGCTGATAATCTAGGCAAGCGTTAATATCAATACAAAATTAGAAGTATAGTAGCATTCGAAAACATACCTAGAATAGCCAGCGTCCCTTGTGTTTCAAACAAAGAAAAGTGCGCTCATTTCTATTTCCATCCTGTATGCGCACGATTTACAATATATATAAAGTCAACCAAGTGTTCGGGCAAATAACCGAAATTCAACCACAAACAGACGACAAAGAATATGAGATTCAACCACTAGAAGGACTGTTGTATTCTATTTGAAGACATAACTACACAGTTTAAGGTAGGATGTATCACCGAATGTACCCGTGTACACGTATATAATAGCAGACAGACCCAACATTTTATTCATCGATAAATTATTTCGCAATCATTATTACTAATAAATTTCGTTCATTCATACAAAGTCTAAAGGAATTCATTCATTCACACAGCGAGAATAAGCCACATTTCAGCAACCACGACTTATAACGATATATTACCAACATAAAGAAATAACATTGTCATCACTCTGGAAAAATATTATACCACACCACAACAACAATGCCTCGAATAGCTGACGTACCAGCATCCAGTCTCCCTCTTCTTTCTCTCGTCTCTGCAATCTTTGGTGGCGCTCTTTTTCTCCTAACAACGATATTTCTCCACATATGCACATATTGGTACTACTCGCGCTCCAGACTCCTCCTTATCACCTTGACCAGTTGCGTTTTTAGTATATTTCGTTTAATAGTTGGTCTATGCGATTGGTCTATACCTGATTCGTCTCAATTAACGATTACATATTTAATCCTGGTGACCAACATAATCGCATTTACGCTAAACGACATGATACTGTTCCTAAGAGTCGTGCCGTACAGCAAGAGTATTTTGACGACACGAATCATGTGGGGAATCACAGCCATAACAAAGATTGTGCTTTTTGCGATTGTAGACGAGCCCCGCGAAACGGGGACAGGGCAGTATTACTTGTTGGATAACGTGGCCCATCGTCGACAGATATTCAACATATTGTTTGCAGTCGTAAGCATCATTTGGTATGGTTACATGTCACATGTAGCAATATCACATTTACGCGAAAGGGGATTACTGACCACGGGCCATGTCTACGGACCAACTAACGACCATGCTGTGAAATTGAGGAGATTGTTACATGTCAGCATGGAATATGCGATAATAGGAATGGTAGTGACTACATTTGCTAGGGTTATGAGGGCCCTATTACCGGACGGTACAGCGAGTGTATTCTTCTTTGCTATTGCTATTAGTGTGGAATTGACCATGGTTCCAATGATGATTAAATTATCTAAAGAACAATTGAAACATGGGTTGAAGAACAATAACAAGCTTAACGATGTCGAAGATGTATACAAGGAATAAATATTTAGGAGATAGTTGATAAAGTAATTTACTGTAGCCTTTCAAAGAAATGATAGCATGATTCTCGTTGTGAACAGTCATTATTGTTCATCTACTTCAACCCTAATTCTTAGTATGATAGACTGACAGGTTTCAGTTTTCTTACCATGTACAAATAATAAACCACTTTGCATTCATATGAAACTGGTCTACTTTTTAATGCTGCTACAATTGAGCCCTGGAACAGACGGTTTGTATATTTTATCTACGACTTTAACTGCATTACTACAGTTAGCATAAACCAAGTGAAGAATAATTTAAAGAATTGTTTGCTGGTCATCATCTGCAGATTCGGTCTAGCAATGGTTGCATAACAAGGACCAAGAACAATACTTGAAGTTATGATTTTTTGCTTTGTTGATTACGAACGCAAAAAACTCAATGTAATGATAAGATACGATGTTTACATTAAAACATGTCATGTATTCAAAATTGTTGTCGTTACAGTATCTAGTTAAAAAATCAGTAAAAAGTCAGAGTCTAAATAATACAATCTAAATAAATATAAAAAAAATTTTCTACGAAAGCATCACTGTTATGAATAGCCAAACGAAAACTTTTAGGCCTCGTTAATACCCTCCTCCTGATTCAGTTGCCATTGAACTAAATTTTCGGTTACCTTATGTTTCCTATGTTTCTTATGTTTGCAAATTCTCTTAAAATCACAATCAATACTGTGTCGAACAGTCTTTTTAAACACATCCCAAGAACAGTACAGCTCTCCGCATCCAGGTATAATTGTGGGCACTTCGTTCCTCAACATACGAATCATTGTCGACGATGAATCGCAGGTGTAGATTTCGAAATAAAAATTTGCGGCAAACGGTGCAATTTGCGAGCTGCGGAATTGACGAGCGGAGATTTGATTTGACGTCCAATTAGCTTTTAGAGGTTCATCATCTTTGTTTAGTCCCTGAGTGAGATAAAGTTTTAGCATGTTAATAATGACAATATCATAATATTGCTAACCTTTTTATTTTATACCCACGCATCTCATATATTTAGCCCCATTGTAAATACTCACCAATAAAGTGGTCAAGAAAAAGATTGTCTCAGCATGTGCAAATCTGAGCACACCCCTCACCCAAGGTTCGTCCCCTTTGTTCCTTGTCTCAATTGCCCGTTCTACTCGTTCCACGAAATTTGTTACTAGTCTACACGCCATCACTCTATTCAAACGATTACCATAACTATACATGTAATAGTTGCCTATATCACCCAAATACTCGATAGTTTTAAACTCATCATGTCGTAGTAACGAGCACCATGTATCACTTTTGTTGTAGAGCGCGATTTCGAATCCGCATGCACGATGTATGTACTCGGCGTGAATAGGCCGTAGAGGTGGAGATATAGACAGTTCTTTAGAAATCCGATCGACTATGGCAGGAAAGTGTTTGGATACGTAAAGGGACATTTCGCGTTTGCGGGTTGTGTTATTACGTTGTATTGAACGCCATAATGGGCAGTCATATTTGATGGCTAATTGATTATCCTCGTTCTTGGATTGGGGAGTAGTGGGTGTTAAACGGGAGAAAGTTAACACATGGTGAGTATTCAATGAATGAGTTTGTAAAGATAATCGTAGAGAAATAACAGCTTGCCCGATCAAGATCAATCGAACTTGACCCGCTTTTCTTGCACAACATTCTTCCTTCGACTTACTAGTGGTATGGTGTGTATATAAACAGGCTGAAATAACGGTTGCCCGAGCGATCCCCGTCCCTCAAACAGCCCAAGTGAGTAAGCAACGCCAGATTGTCCCGACCTATTCAAAGCAAAAAGATTCGTTCGGTTTAGTAGAAGCTCGTGCCTAATCTCGATGGACTTGCGATAAAGATAATGGACTCTAAATTTTCGATATATCCGGTAAGGAATTAAGGCTTTCCTTCTAGTATTTACAACCCACGCAGTCAAGTCTGATAATTATCGCATATGAGCTATGCGGGTTTATACGGCTCTATACAAAAAATGATTACAGGCATCTACTCCATTAAAAGAAAAAACAATCGCTTTGTACCCCGAACAACGTATATATATTGCAAGACATCTGCAATGTCGCCACTCTCGTTCAATTTCCGAAATCACAACATCTTACCTGCTGATCGCCGAACTATCAAAATCAAAAAGATTCGCATCGTACGTCGCATTTTCCAAGAACTTTTTGTATCTACTGTTTGTTCTTCTGCCCAACAAGTACAATTCAGTTTCGCCAGTTTTAGCCAACAGGCCTGCTTTAAATTTCTTAAATGGATTCCTCCAATGCCTCCACCATGATTCTTCGTCTCCAACATCCTTAAACAACTCGATCAGCTCATTGAACTTATTGACGTCACCCTTTGTTGGATACCGAATGCCATGACGAGCCAAAAGATACAATTGTGATAGCGTACATTGAGGTGGTGGAATTAATTCATCTGCATGCGGAGTTGTTATCGGATACGGTCGTTTCGTGCCTAAATGATCTGGTACAGAAAAACTTTGATCACCATGACTAGCGCTTAGAATGATGCAGAAAAAGGCGAATATGACTAAGAAAATAATCATATGGCGTCTGGGTATACGGCGGCGCATTTGTAAAGACGTTCACTAGAGGAACAAGGGGAAAGAAAGGAGGGGCAGGAGATTTAAGTTAAAAATAAAAATATGGCAACACAGCATCGTAGGCGTTACACTAAACGACGGGTTGTCAAGTTGGGGAGACATTCTTGCATCCTTTAAGGTAAAAGTCGAGCGCAGTAATGGAATTTCAAATAGCGTTGACAGCTAATATCAAAGTCCTGATTAGTTCGAGGTTTGTTATTTTCGAGGTAGAAGTCGATTGCATTTAGCGGAATTTCAACTAACGATGACGTTAGTCTCAAACGTGCAACTTGCGTCATGATCAGTTCGGGGTTTTTACTGTATTCGCGATCATTCAATAGTTAGTTAGACTCGATCGCACATCACGCGTGACAGCCTATCAGATGAATTAAATTTGACATTGATTGGTTGATTGGTTATTCAACACTAACTATTGTGTAATACCAAATTTTTACCCATTGTCTTGAAGGCGCCAAGAGAAACATGTGCAAGGACTCGAACGTGCTTTTTTTTTTTTTGAGCTGAAAGTGGCGAAAGCATTATTGGAATGCACAAACTGACAGGTATGATAATTGCAGGTCAACTTGGTATCAAAACTACTATTATGCATACACACACGTGAAGAAAAAACAACATAGAAAAAATAGCTACTTCCTCATTATCGTTGAATAAGATAATGATATTTTCATCTAAAAGGAAAATACTTATCAGTTAGAATAAATAGCAACAGTGCCCAAAACTAAACGTGACTATTTTTACCGATATCGTTATAATGGCTTTTCAATAAAAACGACGTTTTAGTTAAACGGTATAAATAACGTTTAAACTAGTTTTTACTTTCAATCGGAATCATTTCTTTTAACTTAATTTGAGAAGCTTAGCCATTTTTGTCACCCTCTAATTTTTCTGCTATTATTTTTCTACCACGTCCAATAACTGTTGCCTTGCTTTTACATCACTCTTCTGACTTTTCTTAAAACTTAATTATTTTCTCTCCCTTCAATCTTATACTCTTCGGTAATTGGCAGGTTGTTTTTCAATTCTAAAAAATCAAGCGACTAACTTTTCATCAGCCAATAACTCCTGACATTGCCAAAGCAAAAGATAGTAATCTAATAAAAGCAAGTAAAGAAACAGTTAGCAAATGAGTTGCGGTAAGTGTAACACAAACGACGCGCTTTACCCGGAAAATTTAAATGACTGAGTTACGCAGTATTTCATGGTTAATTACTCTGAATTAAATTATACAGCTATCAGCTTGCTTAATCATTGCCAATTGTTTATTTAGGTCTTCCAGAGTCATTATAATTTTCTCAATGTCGGATACTGCAATCAGTTGCATATGTGTATCATAAAGCATTATGCATATCTAGCGTAACGGTAAAATTGACAATAATATTTTTGGTTAACTTGCTAAGAGATGTAATGACGGCTTGCGTTTCGAGGATCAAGATGGTTATTATTACTGCTGATTTCGAATTTGACCATCCATATTCAGCGTCATCGTATTCGAGTTCACCTAGTAATTCGTTGTGTCATTTCACCGTCTCAATATCCAATATTTTAGTCTACGCGAACGTCGACACTGTTCAACGCAATTCCTCAGCGCCTACCAATTGGTGTTGCATTGTCACGCGTCGCTTTTTTCGGGTCCGAGTGTTTTTTATGACTTTGCGTTTCTATAAAAGTGTGACAATAATTTTAATGAATGGTAAGCGAAAAGGGACTCGGGTTTATCACCACTTGCGAGATCGTTTAGCAGCAGCAGTTTGAGCGTAAATGAGTAGTCACCAATATTTGAAGAGTAACCAACTGATAAATATAAAAATGGCAAACCTTTTTGTATAACGAGCCGCGTTTATTGAAAACCCTGTATAATCGTTTTGTATAATTGAAAATAAGTTGTTTTTGTTTTTGATGAATGTGAACTCATTTGCGAATGCCATAATCTCTTACAACATAGCAATAGGTCTAAAATGTTACTAAAAAATAGTCTGGATTCGTGCATGAATCACAGCTATAAATCTTACCAAAATGTCGTAATATTAAATTTTGAATTTCTATATCAGATGGGGATCTTCGTCCGCGAGTGTATATATTTCAGAAACATTACACGTTTCCTGCTTCAAACATTGCCCTTGTTCAGACAGAGTCATGTTGTAGTGGAATAGCCCTTGGAATTGGAACTTGTAAACGCGTAAAATAAATAGCGCAAAACAAAGCTTTGTGTGTTTACTTTACATGAGACAAATAGGTCCAAAATTGAAGTTACCTATATACAAATTATAGAGAATGCTGTAAATTTGTCTTTTTTTTTTTGCATACCATGTATCTAATGCCCGTAAATTATCAACTCTTTTACTCTATAATTATGTCTAATTCTTAATAATTACATTATATGCTATACAATATACAGTTGACATACTACTAATGAAATAATTAGAAGAATGCTGATGTAGTAGCAGTCGTTCAGCAGCCGTATATTATTAGAAGTCAATCGAACAACAAGCCAAATCAAAGTCATAACAAAAAATTTTATAAGTATAACGATACTCACTCTCTTTCCCATTCGACATTCCTTTTTAGATGTCTTTATCCTTCCACTTATCCTTTAAACTCATTTCTAACCTTTCTCCCCGTCTCACGATTCCTGCACATAATCCTGTGTTTCATCTTAATCGCATCAACCAAAAATTCATTCACCGGCGTACTCAAGCCACACATGCGACCTGATTTCACAATGAATCCATTCACATAATCTATATCAGTTAGCTGACAGGAGAGTATCGCGGAAGACATGGGTGACGAGATGTGCGGATGAGTGTTGCATATTTGAAAAACAGCATCAAGAATACGGTCGGGACCAAAGCGATTGGTCAACGGAAGCAGAAGGAATGGTGAAACCGAAAATTGGGATGGCCGAGAGGAATGAGTAGTTGACGATGTGAATTGCGGTTTCGGAGAGGATGAGCGTGAATCGCCAAGTTTTAAAGGTTCGTCGCAAGATACAGCTTGAGCTGACTCTTCATGAACAACAGCATCGCTACCGAATTCCTTGTCCGTGTCACTCGTTTCTTTCCCTGCCATATTTGCTTCTCTTACTTTTCGCTCTGCTTCCAAAAACCCTCCAATCACAAAACCACGATAAGCCCGTACTACGGCCGATGCTTCATTCACAACCTTTTTCAATACTCTATTTGCTGGCATATTATACAATAAGCTCCCGTACTTCACGTTGAAAAGCGTGGAGATTGGCGCAAGACACGCGTTTAGGAGAAGTTTTTCGAGTAAATGATCGATAACGACTGGGTAAAAGAGGCGCGTAAAAGAGAGAAGTGGAAGAGATGTAAGAATGGATATGGTAGAGTGGAGCGATGACTGCGTGGTTGAGAATGAGTTTATAGTATCATTTTTGGAGTTTATATTATTGTTCTCTGGGTTACTTTTCTCTTTCTCCGAGTCAAACCCATCAGGTTCCACTCCGTTCTTCTCGTTTCGTTGGTTAGTCATACTCCTAACCCTAACCTCTCTCCCATCTTCTCCGGGCACAATTCCAAAATATACCCTTCCCAATCTTTCTATCATAACCTCAAATTGTCCACGTGTATAACATCTATGTGTAGCGTCCGCAAGGACTATGTTTGGACGTACGGAAGGTTCGCGAAAGTATGTCTGTATCAAGTCTTCGTAAATGCCTAATGTTCCGTGGTGAAATATGATAATGGTGGATGTGGGGAGGATACGAGGAAAAATCCGGGAAAATGCAGAAAAAAAGTCCGGTAGAGACGTGGCAATTATTAAGGACGATATTGGGGTGACGTTAGGAGAAAGAAAAGGTGAATAAGAGAAGGAACGAAGAGAAGGATTTAACGAATTTGAGGGGAAATGGTAATGTCCTTCTGTAACAGGATCGGCATTCTTCACAATATTTCCTCCAAGCCCATATTCTCGGTTACCTCCATTTGTTAGAGGATGAGCCAATACATTTGATCCCACGTCTCGAGCTCCATTGACTCCCATTCCCGGCACTTCCAGTTGATATCCATTCGATGTTTCAACCGCATCGTTTTGATAATGTACTGTAATCATTCGATCCTTCCGCATAAAGTTTGCGAGGGACAAGCGATCACGAAGCAAAAGAGTTACGTCATGATTGTTGCGTTTCAGAATGTGGGCGATCAAGAAGCCGATGCCTTGTGTCCCTAAGATATGGAAGCGCATGAGAATTTACAAAGAGCGGGAACAATTGAAAAGAGGGAAATGAAGAAAACTGAATAATTTAACGATTTGATTGGCTGATGAAATCTTTGTCGATCAAATAAACCGATTACTGATCAGTTATTTTTTCAGTATATTTATTAGCTAGCTATGCCCTTTCAAAAGTCGGATGATAAAGTTATAATTAAATATGGGAATGAAAACTCGGTTGAGGGTAACTAATGATATGTTAAATAATGACCTCAAACTCGCTCGTTAATATATTATCATTGTGTAGTTTATTTCTATGGAGCGACTGTAACTTCATGGATAGCCGCTGGAAGAGAGAGGCTCTTTCTGAGGTATTAACAGAGTTACTATTACCGACAGCGTTCCGCATTGTATTCACATTTATTAATGTTGAGCTGACGTATCATACCAGTAAGAATGCTATATTGAATGGTACTAAGGCTATCCGCGGAGGGATACCATTGGGTATGGAAGAACTCTTTACATGAAATAGTTTAGATAGACGAGGTTACAAATTTTCTTTATATAGCGATCTTATTTATCACAACTGTACTTTGGAAAGCTCACAGCATATCTAATTACGTTCAACAGTATTTCCTCAATTTGGCAAAGCAGAAGACAGCTCCGCTCCAACAGCTGCCCTTCCTCAACATGGCTTTGCACGAAATTCAAAGTGGGAATTCTTGGAGGGGAAAGATGATGATAATGAAGTGACGGGAATTTTTAGTAAGCATGGTTGTGGAGAGAGTCATTTAATCGGTAAAAAAATTTTTTTTTAATAACAAGGTTGCTTTTCTTTGTAAATTAGCCTTATCTCCGTCATCAGTACCATCGGAATTGTATCAGAAGTGGCCATTCCCGTTCAAGCTGTTGTATACAGTCATCCTTCGTCCACAATCACTTTCCACTTTTATATCTGTAAAAAACGAAGGACCTGAAGCATTTGATTTTCATACCCTTCTTCATACTTACTTTTCTATCCCGGTGAGTGAGTGAGTGAGTGAGCGAGACTGTTGCTGCACGCAGTATCGTAGTAGAATGATTATAGGGACTGCATTTATATTAATTGAATCTTGTTTGCCTCTGACCAAGTTCAAAATATCCACTAAATGGATTCTATTGATAGGATATCTCAAAACTCAAAATCCATAACTTGACAAATAATGTTTTCACTGATAAAGTAGCCAATGGAGCACGTGACACGGAAACAAGAGAAGTCATCACCGTCAACGGAGAAGTCGACAGGGTGTATGAAGACGTTATTACCGAAGATGTGCTTGTCTATTGTGGAGACGAGTCCGGAATCAGAATAAAGAGAGTTGGAGTAAATGATGTCGGTAAGTAGCGCTTAAATTTGATCTTTAAAGGTAGAAATCAAGAATGATGTTGGCTTTTCTCTTCAATAAAGGCAAACTATTACTTATTCGTTACACGTATTTTGTATTCGGGCTCTCCTCTTAATAGTTGTCTGGAATCCCTGGTTAGCCAAAGCGGCGGCTATGTCTGATTTTGGAGATGATGAATATAAAGAAATGATTTGCGTCGAACTTGGTAATGTATCCAAGTACGTTCGGCTTGCACCGGGTGAGACGTGGGAAGGTGGACAGGAATTAAGCGTCATTTAAATGAGATGGGGATCCGTGAATTTAATGAGGAATGAGAATTTAGTTAGAATTTTTAAAGTAAAGAGTGGACGTAAGAGCGTATTAAACAAAAGGGCATAACGCTGGTTTTTATTGGTTCGTCTGTTGATTATCTGTTAAATGATTTAAGTAATTTATGGATTATGAGGAGGTTGTTCGACGAGTTTAAACGTAATTGTCTACGATCTATACATTGGTTAACACTTTTAGAAATAAGGAGCTTGTGATATGATTCCTCCGAGGGATTAAGTTTATCGAATCATTATACTGAAAGTGCATTCCACCCTCTCGCAATCTTTAACCTTGTTATCTCTGCGGTGTCTTCCTAATTAGTATTAGCAAAATATTGATTATTAGACCGTTATCATTATGACCAACTAATACTCGCACAATATTCATTGTCAGTTAATAAATAGTTATGCATCCTGGTTAAATCTTTCAGTGCTTGACTCTATTTGTAGTCATCATAAGAATGTTTACATTCAACCGGTCTATCGGAATGATACATACCTTTCCACCAGACGATGTCAACAGTATAGAGGTCAACAAGATTTTCTTCTCACTTTGATTGCAATTGACTGTGTGACAACACGCGCAGAAAAAAAATAATTTTTTTTCCCTTTCAACAAGGAAACAGCAAGTAGAATTAGTATTCCGAGGCTTATTGTCCGTTATAATTAGTAATAACATCAAGGATATTAGTATCAGTATGTTGCATTCGATAGACATACATGTTTTGCGGGCTTTATCCAATTATATGCGTACTTTAATTAAATAAAATTAGCGGCCAGGTTCTTGTGCTCAGTCTATTGGATCACCGCCGCTTGGAAGTTCTACTCTGTGTTTTCTTCAAAGAAGTTCTAATTTCCGATTGTTCTCTCATTTTTCATTTCAACCAACGGATTAACTAAAATCATCGCTTAGTTTGAAATAGTGTTTGCTTCTTTTTTTTTATAGACTTGATGGCTGAACGTCCTCGCTTCGTTCTTTCCGTTTTCTAACCAGGATTGCAGAAATGTTTACCGCACGTATCTGCATACATAGATACGCGTAAGTGTACGGAAACTTTAAACAGTCACCTTGCAAAGTATGTCCAAATCAGAATATCATCTCAGCAAAGTATTCATTTTGTAATCGGCCCAATATCCAATGTTGTTAACAAACAGCCTATAAGACATTGACAACGAAATGCTGTCTGTCACTTGCTATGGCACAACGGTTTTTTAATAGGACAAATTTCAAGCTGCTGCGTATTGATCTGCCAATCACCTGATCAACAGGATATGCAACCAATCATCTGTTTAATAGTTTGATTAATATACGGTCGATTAACGCTATTATCTTATTGGTGTTTGACGTTACTTTGTCATATTTCAGTTTTTGACAAAGTTACAAGACTAGTCAGTTAGTTGGACCAAGCAAAACTTTCTTCACTTCTTTCCAGAAGCATCGTCACAAATGAACAGTGAGTTTCTTGTATAATAAATAACAATGATCGTAATATAATGGCGAGTATGCTGTTACTGTATAGAATGTGATTAAACTTGGGTTCAGCAGCAGTGAAAATTATTGTGCATAGAGCATTCTGCATCACGGGATTTCATGCCTGTGAGAAAGATACATGCCGTTAACGGTATGAAGTGTAACACCTAATCAGTGAAATCTAGTAATCTTGGCCAATGGTAGACTGGTTGACCAGTCTGGACCTGCATGAGTGATAAACCAATCTAATGTTTGGATCCATTTAGATGCAACTTTGAATTACTCTTCATTGCTATTATTATTAAAATACCACATAACTATTCATTATCATTCGCATGTCACCAACCTACACCAATTATCACAGCACACCCTACTTCTATTCATATACCCTATAAGGGTGCTTAATATGTTGGTGATACACACAAATATGTATACCAAGGGCATCACTATCAAGACAATATGGACTGATAGATGATGTATGAATGACGGATGAGGTGGACATGATATTATATGTGGATTTGGATGGATGGATGGATGGGATGGGATGGATTGTTGGATAGGAAATAAGGGAGTAAGGGCAAAAGTGGGAGAAGGGGATAAAGGGGAGGGGTAAATAACGAGGGGTAAGTAATGAGGGGTTTAACAACCATAAGTTGGGGGTATAACCGAAGACTGGAGAATTATATTAATAATATATTAGAATTTATTTTATTTAGTATAAATATACCCATTTTATATTACATTATATTAATTGTATTTATTTTATTTATTGTATTTATATAGTATTATACATACAAATATATGTTCACATTATTGTTATTACAACATTCTCATTGCGTATGTGGCGGATTATATTCATCCGCAATCGTCTGTTGGAACGTAACACAATTTCCCTTTTCTTCCTTGTCATACCAATACGAATATACAATAGAATTAATACAAAACACTTCCACAAAATACCATTCCGATAACTCCCATCATCATCACCTCCGTACAACCCAAACAAATCAAGCACCAGACACACCCGAGTTGGTCTTGCGTACTTTTTGTTAGACATACAAATACCCAAAGCTCCATTTTGCCAGTTATCGTTTGACGATACCGATAGACGATATTAACAAACACATATCCCGACACTAGTTAATAACAGCTGTCCTGATACTCGTGCTCACAACACACGTTAATATCAAACAACTTGACATATTCTAAAGCGTAGAAAAGCTGAATAAAGTAGAGATACACTACACAATACATACTATACTCTCAAAGAACGTACAGTGTGTTTAGAGAACACATTGATAATAAATTGAACGTCTACCAACCCGCAAAGCTTTCAGCCGTACCTTTGTAGCAAACAACAACCTACAACTTACAACAACTACCACTACCACTACAACCACCACCAACACTTTTAAACAACCTCATACGAAAACTGCAATGGCCAATATTCCTAGCTCAACTTTTGCTTATGGTTCAACGGGCCAAGCAAGGAGTAATAACACGCAGGTGGGTTGACGAGGCTTACAGGTAGAAGGGTTATGAAATATGTGGGATAACCGTCTTGATAATACTGAGAAGGGCAAAAAAAAAAAAAGAGGTCTACACGAGAAAAAAAAAACAAATATAATGTTTATGCGTGTGATATTTGGAAGCATATGCTACCTCCTTATGAGTAGAAAATGTCAAAGTACTTTCTTTCTGTCGTTTGACCGACTATTTCATACGAGCGACGGGTCTTTAGCTAATTACTGGAATAACTAAAAGTATATTGGATATAATATTATACACGAATAGATAGGCAAATGCGACAAGCAAATAGAACAAACATACGGAACGCAGTACTAATAACTCATAACATTTACAATATTTAGATGTCTGTCGATTCAGAAAAGCGGAAATCAAAATTACGGCGGAAAATGGCCGAATATGACGCTAAGAGCGAATACGAAGGGTCGAAGGTAAGACGAAGATTGGGACTTGTCGATGTTTGGGATGCGCACCAAGTAATAAACAGCTCCCATCAAAGCGACACCAGTGCTATCGTATAACTCACCTTTCCTGTTTTTTCTCCCTTATTATAGGACCACTTGAGATTGCTCATGGATCAATACGGAACGAAATCGAAGGTAGTCGAAGATATAAACCGAGAATCTACTGAACTCCAGAACAAAATAATGGATCTTATGCGTAAGGCACAAATGAGGGGAAAGGTAAGGATTAGTCAATCGATCGTATAGGAAGAAGAGACTTGCAAGAAACAGGATGATGAACTTGACAGTTTGACTAATATCGTATATCTTATTTTAACTCAAACAGCCCTTCAATGTGGCTGCTTCTCAAACCTTCACCCAAACCGCCGAGCCCTGTCCCACTCCATCAACGCCACAAACATCTTCATCGACATTGGACGCAGCGCCATCGAAACCATCCGACTTCTCACTGACGCGTACTTTCTTTTGGCTGCTCTGGTTACCTTTTCAAATCGCATTTGGTATTTTGAGAACGGTGTACAGGAATCTGAACTGGGGAACAGTACTATTGACTGTTGCAATGATGGAGTTAACAATTGTTGGAATTATTTGGGGGTGAGTTGTTTGAATCCTTTTTCTTCTCTTCTAGTTGTAACATACATACAATATTAAGCTTGGTTTGATGCAATTCATTTTACTGACAATACCCGTTTTTCGATTTCCTTTTCCTTTCGTACAGCATTCGTCGTTCGCACCACAACTATCTTTATGTGGAGCCATACGAGGCAGAAATCCATGGTACATTTGGAGTTGAATCATCATCTTCATTTGATATGATCATGAGCGTTATCTCCGTGATAAGAGATTTCTTTGCCGAGGTTATGAACGGAGGGCGAGGTTTCGGAAGCCCAGAATACGTTGGATATGTGCCCATATGAAAATGAAGGAAACGAAAAAAGTAACCTCGTGCTTCACGAGTTATCTATCTGAAGAAACGAGGAGAAAAAAAGAAGGAATGACGATGGCGTCCGGAGGAGAAGTTTACTTGCAGAGGAAAGACGTCGTTGACGACGGAATGCGGTCGACGATGAGTAATTGTTATTAGTGATAGAGATCAGACTTTTCGTTGACAGATATCTTCGATAATCTGCTGTTACTCTTCACTCTCGTTACTTGTCATCATTACTGTCGACTGTTCAGTCAATTAGCGCTGTTTTCTTTCATAATACGTTGGTGTTTCGTTTATACTTAGATCTCTAGAATTTAGAATCTGGATCTATTATTGTTTGATTTCTTTTTTCTTTTAGGGACAATTGTTTTTGTGTGTTTGTGCTTGGGTTCTATTTTATTCTTGTTAAAATAATTTAATTTTCTTTTGATTATCCGTTCTGTGGTTTTTTACTTTTTTTTTTTTTTTACTTTCACTGTTGTTCATTCGGTTGCATTGATTCAACTTCAAATCAAAATTAAATTCCTTGCTTTTTCAACCTTTCATTTTCGCATTCAATCATACTCCCAAATGCACTCCCAATCACACTTCTCTTTGTAAGTATTTTGTTTCTTTTGTTTTCATTTTTTTTTTCGTGTATTTTTCACCCTTTTTAGATGATTCGATTACTTGTTTATTCCCGTTGCACTGACTGTACTGCATGATTTCAATTTGCATTTGCACTTTCACAATGAGAAAATTTTCGTTCTACTCTGATTGATCGGTCACCGATCAAAAAAAAAAGATGAAAACTCATCATCCAAAATCATTTAAAAAAGAAAAAGTCAATAAAAAATTTTTAAAACTAACTTATCTACCATAGCGTTTTGTGGAGTAGCGTTTTGTGGAGAGAGCTGGATGTGATGCTATGATGTAACGAATTCGATTGTGTACAAGGTGATGTCCTTAATATAGACTAATTAACAAAGTACGGTTACTCGCAATAGTATTACAAGGGGGTCGATAGTAAGTGGATTAATTAATAAGGTCTTCGATTACGCTTTCGGTCCCGATTAAATTACTCGCTTAGGTTGATACTAGCAGTGTTAGAACGACATCTAGCGGAGAGGGGGAAACGTGAGATCTTCCCAGCATCTTTTTTACTTATTGACGTAATTAGCGACCGTTTGGAAAGAGAAGACAATTAACCCTTCGATTTTCTTTACAGTCTTGTTATACACACAAAACCCTTTATTCTAAAGTTTACCAATCGCACATTCACACGTTACCCCGTTCAGTATTATCGGATTAATGTTTTTTGATAACGGAGATAATATTTTAGTATCGATCTCTACCTTAAAATTTGGCTTATGTGATTATTGTACTGACTAGGGCAAAAAGTTTAGTTTCACCATAATTGCCTCTCAATTTATGCTTTGCATGCATGGCTTTATTGATTACGTATGTTCTTGACGTTTAGACATTCACGCATTTACAAGCTATCCAAACCACTTCCGAGATAATAATACAGGCCCCAGCTGTATCTCCATCATTGATAACGCGCAGGAAAGTAGATGAAGCAGGTTCATCGTTGTTCATCCAGATCAGAAAACGTCTGCAATGATAAGGCAGGTCGATGTCCTTTTTGCATGAATCTGCGTGCATCAGGCATGGGTTTATTTTCTTATCCTTTTTGCTTTAAGACCTCTGCTGCGTGACAAGTTGATCTATGCTCACAGTTTTTGGGGTTGCGCCATTTTACGTGTTGCGTCAGAAGCCACTGTTCTTGTCTGAATCTAGTGGCTTTATCGAATCATTTAAGAATGCCTAAGAATGTGTAAGCTAATTCTCATGAAGCCCTGGCAAAGAACGCTTAGAGTTCACTTAAACGGCGAAACAAATACTCCAGAAATAGCAAATACAACAATAGTTCGTCTCTCATTCACCGCAATAATTATTACCCCTCATTAGCTTACACTTCTCAGTTTACTCACCCTTCATTACCAAATACTGCGTGTCTCTCTAATCGGTACAATGACGTCGGTACCACTTGTCGGTATCCCTGTGTCTCCGCATTAACAATCCCTGATTGCACACATTGTGATGGGGTTATCAAAATAATGCGAGATGGAAGATTTAATAAGTTAAGAGTTGAATATAATTAGTATAGTTAACAGTAAACTTAGTGACAAGTTGAGCAACAAAGAGATGATTAATAAGTAATATTAATAATTCTAGTGTTACGGTATACGTTGTTCGGACATGCTATTATTAGTTATATTGTCTATTACCTGTTTGTTATTATTACAAGCACGTGTAACTGAATGCGGTTATGAAGTGTGTTCGGGTTATACATGATGGGCACTAAATTTGAATGGGATCCGAGCGAGAGTGCATTAGACAACGGCAACATGGTTTAGTCACATAAAAGGCCAGAAATGTGCAGTACGTTCATGTGCTTAAAATGACTAGGATCAATTCGTCAACGATCGTTTAATGTTTTCTTGAAAACGGGTTGACATGCATATATATGAAGGGAAAAAGGTAAATAAAGAAGCATATGGATAATTAGAATACCGAATAAGGGGAATGAAAAGCTTATTGCTGGACATCGGATATCGAATATCGAGTATAGAGTCTTGGATAGCGGAGAAAATTAACAACCAAACCACCCATAAACAAGTAGTACGCTTATCTACTCAACTAACTCTCTTTATCATTAATTCCGCCTTTGACCGAAAAAAGACGGAAGACTATCCGGCACTCGTCTTTTGAGAGACAATAGTCAATTAGTATCGTGTTTGTTTATTTCTTGCCGACTAGATGAATTAGGGTTTCCAATGGTTTATTCGTTCGTAATAACGGATGACAAACAATCAATCACGAACAGCAATTAAAAAAAATCGACAGAAACACAAAAGACAATATTTGGCTTTATCTTTGATTCCGATTGTGTATCAGATTATTCAAAATTCACATGAAAAATATTGATATGAAAAACCTGCAGAAATGCGAAAGAAAACCGAATACGCAAATGTAGAAAATGAGAAAATTAATAAACCTTATCTACATATGTATATCTTTGAGTCGATAACGCCGACTTGCTGTATGCACAGTAATATTAGATGACTAAATTGTAAAGGTTTTCTGGCTGGGCGCATGTCACAAAGAAATGGGGTAACTATTAATCAGTGCAACGACTGTGCAACCAACATTCTCAGTCTGACAACGGTTACAACTATCCTTATCATTGTGTACTACGATTCTCACATCCACTCTACAGTCTTTCTTCTGAGCAGAATTTTTTGCCATATCAAACAACAGCAAGAAAAAAAAAAAAAAGAAATAAACAAAACAAAACAAACGAATAGGCTCTTGCCAGAATCCAAGAGAAGTTTCAAAGCAAACTAATTAATCAGCCGCACGTCAGAGGGAAAGGGGCATATTACTAATCTCAGTTAGCCCATGAAGTAATTATAACATGTTTTAGTCACTATTACATCCCTAACATATTTTTTCGTTTAGCCGCGCTACTTGCAACGAAGCAATCAAAACGTTGTTCGTTGTGCGTATCAAAAACCCGAATTGCAACAAGCAGAGAATGGCGCCACAGCAAATTTAGGGTTCAAAAACTGTTGAACACCGAGAATGTTTTGCTCCCCATAGTTGGTGTTTACAAGTACAAGATTTAAAAATAACGAATTCAACTTAATTAGGCACCGACAAAGTATTGTTAAACTGAGAAGCGTCTGCATTAAATAAGAGTTTGTATTATTATTTCTATTTGCGTCGTTTCGCTATTCTATCACTATCGGATATAAACGCAGTTTGTACGTATTGCTTATTACTCTTGGAAATTCCATTCTTACTATCAAATATTATTTTACACAAAGTTAATGATTAATTATATAGTTTAAACACTCATTCTAGAGTAAAAGCAAAACATTGATTATTCGGAAATCCTACGATTATGAATTGGTGTTTCACAAAGCATGCAAAAAGAGGTTTACAATTCAAAACACGTTTATAAAGAAAAGCAAAAGCAAAGAGATTATTGATTAATTTGCTACATTCTAATCAATTAGAAAAGAAACATCGCATAAACTGCGTTATCAGAATCTGCCGAGTTTTGATTTATGAAATTATAATCATAAATAAAGTTACAACATTCTTAATATTCAAGTATTCCAAATTATTGTTAATATTAATATTTTAGTAATAATGATAAGAATTACTACTGCATCTTGTTGGTAAAATGACTGGTACTATTATATTATCACCTTGCATAATTCAAACGCGTTAGCAAAAAGTGATAATATTATGTGACAACTCTTGAGTATGCAAAACAAACCCTACATTTGTACATATTTATGTAAACTTGATTGTCTACTAAACTTGCTTAATTATAACGTTAACATGGTCTGGTATCTTTATGTTAATTCGGGATTTTAATAATTTCATTGTGCATTTTCTACATAAGCTTTTATTTCAAGGTTCTGATTTAGCCTCTTTTAATATGATACTCGGATGTAGTTGTTTAAACCTATGTGCTCTTCATTCCTTGAACCATACAGTTTCGAGGTTGAATGCTTTACTTTGTAAATCTATGTTATTTGCACAGAGTATTATTATCACAACGTTTTGAGCTCTAAAAATTCATAATCCATTTTCATTTAACTAATATAGAGCAAAGCGAACATTTTATTATACGACATAAATGAGATGCGGATGTGCTAAAAGTTAACTGACCAATAACATTACAGTTGTAATAGTAACTGCGAAAATTTGGCTGACATTAAAGTTAGTTGAAATAAATATGGTTAATATATTAATGTAGGATTATTTTTATATCGAAATAAAATAATAAAATTAAATCCACGATGGGACCAAAAACGTGGCTTTTCTGCAAGCTGTCCCTGCGATAAGGGGGTAAATTAGGGATTAATTATAGCACTATTGGAAGCACCTAAAAAAGAACAGGATAAAAAATTGCACCTTGTGTGTTTAAGCCCTTTCAGCTTTCTTTTTGGCTCTTAATTACAACTTTAATCTTGTTTATGAGTAATTTTTATCATTGTGTTATCTGAGAGAGTATTAATCGATCCGTTTTGAGCATATACAGTATTCGCAATGCTAATAACGACATCAATTGACAAAAATTTGCAAATTCGCGCGCGAATCCTGTTTATCTGTTTTATTCAGTTTTTTAGCCTTGGAAAAAAAAAGTTAAACTTATTAATACTTTGCACAAAAATCGGAATTGTTTTTCGATTTGCCTTTTGCCTACGAGCTTATTTCAGACGAACAAAAATAATAGTCTCCTTATATTCTTCCTACTCTCTTTTTTGAATTTTGATAATATCTGCCAAGATAATTACCAAAAATCCTGCTTCAATTTCATTCTTTCAGAAACCTCTAAGTTTGAGAATTAGAAAAAATTAAATCTATTAAGAGCAAAATTTCTATTTTTTGAATAACGAAAATTTTTCCGTGGCAATATTACATTATTGAAAACAAGAAAAGGCTCAAATTTATCATTTCACCGAGTTTAATGTTCGGTGCAATTTGATATGATAAATTTTAATAATCCATGTAAAGTTTCTCGCAACGCTTTGTAAAAACTCAGTATCCATGATAGAACGCAGATTACTATGTTAGTACGAGCTATATTCAGATTGATGGGTTTCGGATAAATCACTCAGATCCAATTTATTGTTCTCCCGTTAAACAGCGCTAAATGATGTGCGGAGTATTCTTAACTGGGTTCAAAAACACGTAACAACACAAACGCGAGAAAGTTACATCATAGTCACATAGTTAGTACACACGTCCTTACTAATGACATCATTGGTACTAATAATAGTAAAACACTTCACCCCTTTTTTATGAACAACGTTTAACAAAACATATGTGATCTGACATTTCATCCCCGAACGTAGTACAGATCTGGGGTGTCATTACGGGGAGACATGTCATCTTTAACGGTTACACGTATATTAAATAGTTAATAATCAGATAATTAATTAAGCGCGAGTAGAAATAGTGAAGCGAAGATATAGAAAAAAGCTAATTGGTAATGGGTTTTTTAATTTTTTAAATTTTTACATTACTACGGTTTCCTTAATAACAATTCAAAGATTAATGAATTTATCCGGATATTCGTTAATGATTCTTGATCAGCTTACTCTACATGTCAATATATGCTTTGTGTAAATTAATATCTAATCGGTCGCGTTTCTTTTTCGTTAATAGCTATAATGAGCTCTATTTCAGTCTGGCTATTTATTTGTAGGCTTATCTGTTTTCTGTGTTTGTTGGCCATTTTATTCTCTTTTCTATTCTTATTTGGCTATCTCCCGGGGCTTTTACATACATCTGGAAAACTTTTTGCAGTTGATTAACAATCAGACTTCTAATTTAAGTTCGAATATTTTCATAATAATAAGAACCGCCGCTAAGAATGTTCAAAGCTTTGATATTATTTTGTAGTCGCGTAATTTAGTCTCATTCTTATGGTTCAAGCTGAAGAGAATTACGTTGAAATATAGCCAACTAGAAAATAACAAAAGTGACAGGCGGTTCGGCACAGAGAAGAGTGTTCGTGCGTATACATCTTGCCGACTACAAACATTAGGCGGATCCGAAGGTTGCTTTAATACTGCCCACTTGTACTCGAGCGAAGCAAGGATGAAGTGTAGTGGACGAAATCCATTTTAATATCTAAAATTAAAATTATTATTCCTATACATATTAATATGTACATAGTAAGTAATGGGTAAAGAGTTTCTTATATCCATGGTGTCCATCCTTCATATAGGACACATAAATTATTAATATCAGTAGCCGCTTGAATAATCTTGTCAACCTACAAATTAGAACAAAAGCAAACTGTCAGCCTAAGCTGGTGATACCCCAACCCTTTATCCAAACATCACCTGCTCTGCAATAGTCATGGTGGATAACGAGTCGAAATCACGTCCTTCAAGTTTATCTTTAACGCGTTTTAATACTGATACTGCGTACGCGTTGCGAACTTCGGCTTTTTTCAGGTGCAAATAGAATATGGTGTTAGCATATTATCGTGCTCATTAATCATCGATACCCGAGCACACCAGAAGTATTACTCCCGTTCCCTCACTTACCGGTCTCATCTATCAACGCGGAATCATGCTGCTGGCTTACTGCTTCGGACCGTTTCTGGTTAGCATGCAGTTTCATTTTCTGGAAACAAAGTCGTGATATAAAGTTAGCCATGATATACTGTATACGACCTATGATCGGACAACATAATCCATGTGGCCAAAAAATACCTCGTCACTATCCTCACATTCATCGTTGTCCCCTTCATATTCCCTTCCCTTTCCCTTCCTTTTCCCCTTTCCAAGTTCGTCTTCATCTTCCCTGTCCATCCCAGAAACCTCCATTTCCATCTTTTTGTCTAACTGTAGTGTATCCTCATCCATAACGGTCGTCTTCACGCGGAAGGTTTCAAATTGATCCATCGAGTTTGTCATTGTCGCTATAGGACTTACCTGAAGTTGTGACAATAAGAAAATATTAATAAAGGAGTAACAATGAATAGGTTATGCCTCTGATGCTATCGTAACTCATTCTTTCTATTTTCGCTTTATAAAATAGTTTCCGATTTTGTTCTCTTCCGTTTACATACCCTCTCAACTTCTTGGGCAAAAAACAACTGCGAGTTCGTGTCTGCCTCACCAAATTCTTTCATCAAACCTTTTGTATTTATATTCTCAATGTTATCTTCGTTTATTTCCTTTGCGAATGTTCTTGTTGCTATTCGATTCATCTCATTCTCGTTCACTTCTTCTGTTCCAATTTCCGCATCTTCTGCCATTAACTTTTCATCACGCTCGACTAACTGCTTCTCTAGAATCAAAATATCTTCTATCTTTCCTTCCATGTTTTCAAATAATCCTTTCATTTCTTTAACTTTTGGTACTAGCAATCCGGCCGATTCCTCAAATTCCACTACTGTCTTGTCCCTACCTTCATCTGGATCCGAATGCCAATCGAGTAGTGGATCATAAACAAATGCCTCGAGAAGCATGACAAGAATTTCGCTGTTAGCCCGGAGAACACGTAAGGTGTCCTCGCACGCGATACGAAATACTCCTTCAACACCTGTTATTCCAAGTGCAGATACTATATTCTGTGTTAACCTACACGGAACAGTTTCCGGCACTCTTAATTTCTTTCCCTTCTCAAAACAAACATTATAGTCTATGTGTATAACTTCTCCTCTCTCATAATCAACAAGAATATTATCTAGATGTCTGTCTCCTAAACCAATGATATATCCAATGATACTCATGACAGCAATTGATCGACTCAATGAAATTGATTTTTGCAACCAGGAAGTAGGTGTCGTGGACGAAGACCAGAGCTCATTCGAGAGAAGATCCGAAGGAGTAGAATTGAGTAAGTCGAGGTAGGCAGCCTTTAGTATAGATTTCGGCCAATGCCTCCGGGATATGGTTGGAGGCAAGCCTTCTTTTTTGAGCAACTTTCGAATCTTTTCATAGTATATATCACTAGGACGCTGAAGAAGAGTATTGGCGATGGTGGTAGTGGTTCCAATATTTGTCGCGGCAGCGTTGGCATTTGTACTCCCTGAGCCCGCTTGCCCCTCCGAGTGCCCAATAAGCGTCTTGACAAAATATTCCCTCTGTTGCCACTTTTTATACAATACAAACAGTTGCACAGCATTCTCGACCCACTGAATCATTCCCGAATGCTCACCTAGGGGCACAACTGCATAAAACCTGGCATTTAATCCTGCTTTCCTACCCCGCTTATCTCTTCGCAGTAGACAATTCGTGATCTGCAACTCCCGCATGATTCTCTCATCCAAATGCATGTCTTCTAATCCTTTAAATAAATACGCGTATGTATTGCCATCAGATCCAATTAGATTAAGTTTTTTTGGTTTAGTTTTTGTGGGTAATACGTGAACTGTGTCTGAGAATGAATAAATGGTGAGTGGGGTCGACCGGGGAGAGAAGGAAAGAGATGAAGGAAAAGTGGGAAGAGGAAGTGATGATGAACGAAGCGACGATAGATATGGTGAAAGAGAAGCGAGCGGAAGAGCCCGAGCGGTTTGGATTTGCTTTGTTAGATCTCTATGAATCTTAAAACGTAAAACGTAGTTGTTAAATTGACATGTATCAGATTGCGTGGCATCATTCCTTTTTACACCTACACCCCAAATCAAGAGTCATATAATTTACTCACAACTCTAAACAAGTCCCATCCTTCTTTGACGCCATCCCATCGTTTTGGACTTTTCAGTCTGTCATAAGCTTCCCTTATTCTCGAACCAAAATTATCTAAAAACCATTCCTCATGAGGTGTAGTCGCTCTGCTTGTAATAGACAATAATCTATCGAATGAAATAATGACAGGTTTCATTTGAGCTTCATGAGTCTCTTTCATCATCCTGTTTTGTTCGGCAGAAGTCAAGTTGAGATTATCATTAATGCGCTCGAACTCGGCGTTGACTTTGTGTAGCCGCTTGGAAATGTCAAATTGCAGCGATGTTATTTTATTCAACCAGAGTTCTTCCCAGAGCACCGTTATTCTTTGTAATTCCTTAATTACCATTTTCGTTTCTTCGATGATCTTCTCGTTCTTTTGCTTAATCCTTTCCATAATACTCATCAATAACATCCTATTTCCTTCACTGACTCTTTGTGCCTGCAGTGCTACAACTGTATGATAAACTACCGTGTGTGGTTCATTCTCTGCTATTTTGCAGAGTAGATTACATAGTTCGTGTCGGACGAAAGAATCGTGGTGAGTTAGTCGAGAAAATAATTGTGGGATAATGGGAAGCCAATGATGTGTGGGAGTTTCATGAAGGCCGAATGAAAGGAACGATCGTAGGATTGGACCGTAAGTTACCAGAAGATTGAGGATGCGTAGTGTTGATATTAATGCATCCGCTTCCGTTATACGTGTCTGTGAAATCAAAGGAAGCTTGTACAAATATATATCAATAATGGAAAATGCAATCTATGATTCTTTACCTTGTTGCAATGACGATTATCATAATGAAAGGTCTCCTTATTATTTTCTTCAGCTTCATGCTTGTTTTTAGAACTGTCGAAATTTTTAACCTGTTCCCCATCACTTAACTGCAGATACTTGTGATATCCATCCACGGCAGAACTGAACGAGCGCAAAACTTGTAGTTCCAAGTCAATTAAAACTCGATGAATCGTGCTAATAGTATCCGGGGACGACAAACAATCATTAATTCGTTGCAACGATTGTTGCGTTCCGTGTTCTTGTTCTTGTTCTTGTTCTTGTAGAATTATCAGATTGATATCACCTCTGAATGACGTAACAGTTGAGAGTGGTGTGCAAGAATCGAAGTATTGAAGGAAAAGTGTGAAAATAGACTATACAAATTTAGAATGAGAAGAGTGAACATTATTATGAATGTAAGTAAAATGTAAAATGTACTACAAATTAATGCAACTTTACCTTAAGTATTAGATCCAAATGAGGCATTTCGTTATCCGCATTAGTATCAATACCTTTCCCTACAATTCCTTCACGCATATTCTCTTCGCTCTTACTCCAATCACTGAAACATTGTCTCAATTTGTTTGCAACACTTTTCACCACTTCTGTCATCTGAGTTCCGTTCTTTATATCATCAAGTATCTTCCATCCATAGTCGTATTGGTGTGTAGCATATATGAACCAAGGTTTCGCATAAATGCTATTGAGGGAGATCGCATTCGTCAGAGATGCAGATATAAGAGAGACTCGAGCGCTACTATCAACGGAAGAGTTATCAGCCACGTTAAATTTAGTAGTAGTGACAGTGTTAATCTCCGCGTTAATGCTGTCATTACTACGCGCATCCCCATTACTATTCATCACATTTTGCAAACCTATCAGCGTCTCAGGATCAATATCATTTCTATAGTTCTCTAACCACTTGGCCAGCTTTAAATACATTTTCTGATGAAGCTTTTGTCTTTCTGACATTACATCCATCAAATACATATTATTATGCATTGTTGTGAGAATTGCGTTATTCGTTACACTCTCCTTGATGTTCTCTTTTATGGTTCCTTCTGGCATAAGCGAGCAAATTTTACGAATAGCTTCTATGCAATTATTCTGTTCATACAGAATCTTTGCTTGCTCGAAAGTAATCTCGACAGGGATAGTATCGTCATTACCCTTATAATGTCCAAGTAATTTCATAGCTTTTTTGTACACACGAGACTTTCTGGCAACCTTCGCGGCGATGTATCTTATTAAATGCACATAATTCGTATCAAGACATTTTACATTCCCTTGTTCCTTTCTTCCCCATTTTCCATCCTTGATTTCTGCAACGCCTTTCTCAACAAGTCGCTCAAGATTTGTCCAGACATCGGTATCCGGATCAAAGAAATCACTGAAATACGAGGTATGTCTTAAGTCGACGTTTTCAGCAAAATCGTCCAAGAACGATTTGAATTTTGAAGAATCATGCGGAAGTGTGTGAGAAAAGTTTTGAGAAAGAACAGGGTTAATGGAACGAGTCGTTGGCGGGAGAAACCGTAATAAAGGGAGAATATTGGGAATGTTTGAATCCGGTGTAATATTAGTAAAAGGTGAGGTAAGTATGGAT